GTTACCCAAAGATCCTTCGGGCTTCCACGTAGCATCCCACTGATGCCGATAAGAGCCACTGGTACGAACTACTAGACGCGCGCGCTATTTTCGTGCAAGTTGCATGAAATCACACTGTGGTGGCTGAAACTGCCGTCACTGACGACCCGTGAACTGCGGATGCTATCCTCAACATGGAGTAATCGGTGTCCTTCATGGTTATTCTCAAGTGTGATGAATGACATCGTGTTCATTTCTAATCGTGCAGAGTAAGACTTACTCAGTAAGTTCGAAAGGAAAATTCCATTTTTTACAATTTATTTTACAAGGTTTAAGTGTATCCAGGTAACTGCTGCGCCTCCTAAATTGCAGGCTTTAATCCAGTCAACCCAGAGGCTTGGACACACGAATCGGGTTGTAGTGATCACTTTCTCGTAATTATCGTTGGAGAGGCTCGTTATTATCCGTACAGAAACTAGCGGGTCTCAGTGACTCAATGACCTGTCTGCATGACACAGTCATGATGACAGGCGCGTGGTTAATTCAGGTCTCGTGGGTGGAGTTTCAGAGAAGTCCACATAAATCTGCTACATGCGTGGACACAGATTTTCGAGATCCTCACACCAAAAGCAGACTTTGGTGTAAACTCTTTGATATTAACATCATTTTATGGGACTCGGACCATCTAATTCAGGTACTACACTTCAGTTAGTTCACCTCAGAATTCCTGGTTCTATTGAGGACTCGTAGTTGCCTGTTTGCCGATAGGGCTGATCTATTGCTGATAGGGCTGAGTTTGCCTCGAAGCTAGAGTATGCCTTCAACAGTCTTATGTTTCGCGTGGTAATGGTATATCAATAATCGCCACCAAAGATCATCACCATGCACTGTGTATGATCCACATGAGGAATACGCTTCATTTTTTCATTAAACCTGACTCCATCTTATATTCATGTTTTGTTTCCAAGTTAATGTGAAACTAATCATCCTCGAAAGTCATCATCGGCACTACTGAATTGATAGTATTGATTCAACACTCATCAGCATTACCAGTCGTAATAGGCACGACTAGTCATCGTCAAATGTCACCATCAAATGTCATCATCAATAAGCATCATCAATAGTCAACATCAATAGTCACCATCAAATGTCATCATCAATAATCAACATCAATAGTCAATATCAATAGTCAACATCAATAGTCACCATCAAATGTCATCATCAATAATCAACATCAATAGTCAATATCAATAGTCAACATCAATAGTCACCATCAAATGTCATCATCAATAATCAACATCAATAGTCAATATCAATAGTCAACATCAATAGTCAACATCAATAGTCAACATCAATAGTTAACATCAATAGTCAACATCAATAATCATCATCAATAGTCATGATGTCATCATGATGATGATTAGGTCATCATCGATGGACATCATCGGTGGACATCAGATGTCTACTAGACATCAGCAAATTGCTTTTGACCATTGATGATGACCATCATGCTAGGTGCTGCTTCATCAGTGGGCCACTGATTCAATCAGGATGTAAGGAATTGCTGATGGAATTGGAGAGAGAAGGATGCGGCTATGAAGTAAGATGTGCGTACAGCCTGTACGGCACAGGAGGACAACGAGGAGGGTATGGTAGTTTGTGTATATGTCTGCTCGGAGCACGATGGTTTTGGCGGCGGAAAGTAGCTCGAAGGTGACTGAAGACCTTGCCTAGCCTGGGCAGCCTAGATGCGCACTGGAGCGCAAGGGATCCTGAGTTAGTCAGAGTGCTCTTCAGAGTATCAACAGTAGGTTTCTGACGACCCTCATGGCCTATGACTACTGCTGGTCCTGTTCGGCCTCGTAGACCAGCCTCCATGGGGAGGGCACCCTCCTCCTCATGTCGATGGGATCGAACGACACGAGGTTAGGCGACCGTTGGGTAAAACTCTCACATCTTGATCAAGAAATATTCCAACTCGAGGACCTCAAGTGCTCTACGGTTTGTAAAATCGTTGATGTTGAGAGCGATTCCGAATTTGTCTCACGATCTCAGGCCGATCTGCCCACTATCACCCCGGATCGGGGGCATCGGGGTCCCCGATGCGCATTCAAGTTGACGGAAGCAACTAGTCCCTGCCGCGGCGTACAGACGTTGAGAAATGCCGAGTATGAAGTGTTATTCGCGGTCTCTCTTACACGAGCTTTGCGATGCGTTAGTGAATGGGTAGGGCTGCACCAATTGCATCAATTGCACTGCAATTGATTATAATGTATAATCACATCTATCAGAGAACTCAACCTGGATCGTCACTGGTGGTTACTGGTAATCTACCAAACTGTACACAACAGCAAATAGTTAGCAACGAGAAATGACCTTTTTTCGTGAACTATGGAGATAAGAAACCACCGAAAATAACACCCAACGAAAGCAGTCGACAGAGCCAGCAACCAGGCTGGTTGAACTAGCATGACCAACAGAACCGATCGGATCTAGTGAACCAGCAATATGACGTCGTCAATGACGACCAATCATCCCCAACAGAATATAATCGTCGATCATGATCAAAAGAATCACATGAGCCACCAACACGACCAACATAATAGACAAAATCTTGTGCCATATAATTTGATGTTCTGCAGTAATCTTTATAATGACTTATCCACTTCAGGCTTCTCTTGACAGCCAGCAACAACGAGTGCTGGAGTTCATCTTAGGGCGTGCTCGTGCAGGTCCTGAAGGGGGTCAGTACTACTACATAACTGGTTATCCTGGCTGCGGAAAAACTTTTCTTACGAAGGCCATCATAGCCGAGCTCAGGCAGAGCCACACAGTCGTGCCACTCGCATGGAGCGGGCTCGTAGCAGACAAGCTCGGGGGTCAGACCATAATGAGTTACTTCGGCCTCGGATTTAGCAATACCGGTATTCCCGGCGATAATTCGTACCTGCGAAGCTCAACAGAAATATTGAGGCGCATTATGGAGTACCACAAGAGGCATGGAAACTCGGATATGAGAGCTGAGAAAATCGCAATCGTGATTGATGAGGTTGAGGCCATCTATGCGAGTATACTCGACGGCGTAGCTTACGCTGTCGGACAGATGAGGCCTCCAGCCCAGTGTGGCGGAGAGAACTCTCTTTTTGGGGACGCCGTTGTCGTGCTGGTGGGGGATCCGTGCCAAGCTGCTGGAGTTGAACCTATGGACAACCCAGTCCTATTCCCTACAGATGAGTTCCCCCTACTTCGGTTCTGGGAGGGAGAGTCGTGGGCCAGGACGAAACCGGTCATAATGTACCTGACAGGGCTGCACAGATGCGTGCACGAGGGTTACCTACAGCTCCTCCGCGAGATCCGTAGAGCTCCCTCAATCCGTCCCGGACTGCCATCGTTTTCGGAGCAGTCGCTCCAAATTCTTCAGGCTATCAGGGACCGAGATGGCGGCCGAATCGCGCCCAGGTAAGCAAAGAACTTTCCTCAGATGATATGGCATATCAAATATGCTCTCATCGCAGGTTCTCCCACACGGTGATATGCCTGACTAATGCGGAAGTTGACCGGCACAACAAGCAGATATTGCAGAGCATACCTGGAGTGAAGTATGAGATCGAATGCATACAGAACTACGACTCACTGAGCTCCTCATTCGACTTCGCTGCCGTTGCTAAACTGGGGTATAAGGAGAAGATCGTCTTGAAGAAAGGATGCCGCGTGATGGCGACGGCTAATAGTTATCATCGGCATCCTGCTTCCCGATTCTCGAACGGTGCGATGGGTACTGTTCTCAGCATATACAACGACGAGCTCGGCCAGCCCACAGTTGTTGTCGACTTTGATGACGACAGAGAAGCCGTTCATATCAAGCGACAATCCCTCGTTGTTCGGGGGCCTACAGGCAAGATGGTATTCGAACGTCGTCAGATCCCACTCACGCCATGTTATGCCATGACAGCCCACAGAGTTCTAGGGGCCACCCTCGAAGGAGTCTGGGCAATCTTGTCATCGATAACAACGGGGTGGACCTGTGCGTCAGATGATGCCATCGCCAACTTCTGGCAAGCTCCTTGGTTGCAAGGGCTTACTTATACCGTGATGAGCCGTGTCTCCTCTCCAGAAGCTATAAGGATGCTGCCGATCCGGAACACCGTCGACATCCATAAGGTCCTCCCAATTTTCTCTATGGACAGAACAGCTCTGACGTTCGATGCCAAATGTGCCGAAGAAAGCTGGTTAACGAACTCTCCCCTCCCAAGGCTACTTGTGGGATCAAGAGGACCTGAGGAAAACGATCAGGCGGATACCAAACAGCAGAGCTCACCGACAGGGAGCACGAATGCCTTAGAATCCCTAGAGCACAAGTTGAGCTACATTGAGGAGAAGATCAAGGCGTTCGAAATTAGGATGTTAGTCTCGCAGCATTACGCTACGAGGCAGAACTCCACGGTGGGAGACCCTGTCAACCCAGTACTCTACTGTATGAGAAGGCCATCGCTGAGCGGCAGGCTTGAAAACATGTCGTTAGAAGCACAACTGCGCTTCTTCGAGCTGCTCCATGAGAGATTGAATCTAACCTTCCCTAGGCCGAGCCAGGAGGCAGTGGAGAAACTCATAGAGAACATCTCGAATGAAATCACAGAAGGTAGCCCAGTGCCTATGGATGATTCAGAGACCTTGGAATACCGCAATTCTTAGGTCCCACGGTGCAACCCACAAGCCACCCCCAAACACAAAGTCCTCAACCTAGAGACAACGAACATGCGGCAGAGCTCGAATCCCCGATCGATGTCACCAACGTCGAACCAGAATGCCAGAGAGAGGAGACGTCATCACAAACGAGCACGGGTACTGCATCCAAAGCTAATTTGTCATGATTTCTCATTCAGATTCCGATTCGAACGTATCTGAGTACAACGACAGCTCCTCCGACGACGAAAGCCTGATCGAAATACCCATACAGCCGGATGATCCTATCGCAGCCGAGTCCCGGTTCCTCGATGAACCGTTTATCGCCTTCGACGGGAATCTGCATAGTGTGGTCAAGGACTACCTCCTGGAGCACTGCCACTTGCGTCTTATGCACGCGAGTCTCGACGGTCTGAAAGCAAGGAAGACATGCTACATAGAATGCCGAAGGACGGTTGGCAGTCGAAATGAGGGGAGGTCACCTTCTAAAACTAACAAGCCAGACTGGCGCTCTTGGGAAGAGTTCTCATGCCCAATGCGAGAAGTGAAGGTCCAAGAAGTTGATAATCGTACATTCTTCTACCCTCTGCGAGACGTTCAGGCTACATCTGCCGAATGGCGCGAGCATGGACACTATCCTGGAACAACTGTGTGTCGGAGTAGCACTATCCCACCTGATGTCATCGACGATTGGGTAGTATGGTTATCTCAAGATCCCTGCCTGGCAAAGCAGGATTTGGAAACGAGGACCCTCAGAAAGAGCCTCGACGCGGAGTATTCCTCCAGCACGATCGAGTTCTTGACGAACAAAGGACTGAAGAATTATGAAGCTGTTCGTCAAGCGATAAGATCGATAAGAGGATCTAAAGCATCGGGGTTAAGTGTGGAGGCATTCACCCGAAAGCTAGAAACTCTATCTTACTCGGCTGATCGGCTCACCAGTGAGGTGCGGCAGACTCTAAAGAGTTTGGATGCTGTCATTCGTGGGAACCATACAGCCAGCGACTTGAATCGTGCTCTCGCATCTGATAGATGCATAGTGCTAGGAAGCATCCTGTTCGAACCGGGTCCCACCCGTGGCAATCGTCGAGGAGTGAGTAAATACTCTGCTGTCCTGAGCAGTCCCAGAATGTTGAGCAACCTGAGAAGTTGCAACACAATTGGGATTGACGCCACTTTCAACTTGACTTACGCTGATTTGGCTATCGCAGTGGTATGTACCCTCCCTCGTACTTCAACGGCTCATCCTGTGGCCTTAGTGGTGATGAATAGAGAATCTTCGTCATGTGTGGAGCATGCCCTCAAAGAGCTATCCGAAGCAGCGAAGGCTATTGGTCTGGACGACTGCAACCCCACGGAAGCCGTCCTCGATGGCAGCGGCGCTCTACATGCTGCTCTGATAAAACACTATGGCAATGACGGTGTCAGATGTATCAGCTGCTACTTCCATGTTCTCCAAAGAGCAAAGACGGCCAAAAGTAAGTCCCGCTTGAGCAAGCGTCTCTGGCGCGAGATCAAGAAGGATCTAGACCTTATGGGAGAGGCTTGCAGCCGAACCGAGTGGCTAAAACTAAGAGATCTTTTCTTGACCAAATGGAAGGAAGGTATCTCACAGGAATCTAAGAAAGAAGATGAAATGTCATTGTTGGTCTATTTCAGAACGGCCTACTCAACTCAGCGATGCTGACCAGAGATCTGTGGCGAGCTTCCTCATAAGCTTCGGCGGATACCTCGAACCCTCACAATGGAGGAGCAATTGGAGAGTATATAGCGCCGAAACCCACTCTCCCAGGACTAACAACGCTGTGGAGCGTCTGAATAAGGAATTGAAAAAAATACTCCTCCCATCTCGCCAGCGTCTCACACTAGCGGACTTGGCTGCTCTATTGGAGGACTCTGCTAAATGGGCGATGGTGTCGCAGTATGGAAGAGAAGAAGTCAGAGGGCAAGCTACCGAAAAAGTGGTTCGAGCTGCTTTAGACCATCACCTGAGAAAATCGTATTGTCAACTGCCAGTCGATTGGGCTACTTGCTACCCTGGAGACGGAGTCCATGATCGGTGGCTGTTTTTAACCAATGCCAGAAATGCTGATGAGCTACTGCAAGCCGGTGAACGGTCGTTGTACGATGTTATCTCGAGTGATGACGAACCTGAGGCGAGAAGGAGATGCGATTGTAACTTCACTAGTCTCCGCGAAGCGATGGAGTTGATAAAGACTTACTGTATTGTCACAGTTTCTACCAAGTCAACCACTAACGGTGCTCTGGAGCGTGATATATGGTGCAGTTGCCGACAGTGGGCACTCGAGCTCATTTGCCCCCACGCTCTGTGTCTGAGGTATGTCTTGGGCGAGACACTATCTCCAGACACCCTGAGGCTGTGGGAAAGAGCCAACTGCTACTTTGACCGTCCCAAATTACGACGACGACGTGATGGCCAACTGGATGAACAGAGACTTCCAGCAAATGTACGATACGGTATCGACAACAACAGGAATAGCCGAGCAGCAGCATCAAATGAGGGTTCGCTTGCGGAATCAAGATCCACCGTCATCAATCGAGAAGGGTAAGCGTGAGATAGCCCGGACCCAAGACATTCTTGTATCAACTCAGTACGACTGTCGTACCTGAACAGACACTACGTGCTTCTCCCATAGAGGAAGAGACTACCAAAGCAATTCCAGTCCACATACTTGTACAAGCAGATGATATAATTGAAGGTAGCAGTCCTCCGTCGATCGGCGCGGAGACAATCAGACTCGGATAATCGTGCACTACGATGTTTGTTCCTTCAGGCAATGACGACACGTACGTTGAGAACAGAGCTGACCTCAACGACCAGGAGAATGGCGCAGTTTCTGGAGATCGCGATACATTGGAACCTGAAGCATCGACAGACTACGACTCAAATGATCATCATGACTTACACCAGACTTCAAGCTCGACAAACGAGGTAGTAACAGACTTCAACGGGCACAAAGAGATTCGCTACTTCAGGTGGATAGATCATCGCTGAGGAAGAATACGGAACTGATTTCCAGTACCCTAAGAAGACCGAAGCGTCGCAGACGACTCGACTACAACATGCTAGCACGAGACGGGACCCGAAGATATTTAGATTAACCCGAAGATGGTAAGGTCAGCGAACAACCCATAGGATTCGATGTCGAAGGCTATCTACCATAGTTGAATCAACCCAGTCTCTAAAGACCCACGACTCGAAGATGACATCTCTCCCAAATAGTAGAGGATTGTAAGTGCATGCTCAGACTAACTTAGTAGGGCGACAATGTTGAGTTCATATGTAATACTGACGAAGCCGGGACGATACGGGAGGATCGTTCGGAATGATGAACAGCTGCGAGTCAGCGCAAAAATTCACTCCCACTGTGAATCTCACAGTGATGAGTTATGCACAATCTGTGCACGCGTGCAGCACGCAATCCGACACGCGCGCACATTGCACAATTGTGTCGTTATTTGAGGCCTACAAGCTATGAGCTATCTTAGCTGTATTTCACAACTTGGAGTTGCTAGTTGTTACAACTAAGTTGTAAGTAGCAGCTTTGAGTTATAATGAGTCGTTGCAACGTAGCATGATATGTTCAGCATATACCTGGAATAGAAGTGTGATGCTCTTGAATATTCAATGTACACTAGGACGTTCTGCTGTGGGCAACTATGGTCCTACTTTTGAAGTAGCAATCTCAGTGACCGACGGAAGCGGACTTCGGTTTTCTTTGATTGAAGTCTTCAAATGGAAGAGAATATAGGTCAATCCAAGAGGTTAGACAGTGTCTTTCTTCGCGAACCTCCGAGGGCTAGCGTTGATCTTTGTTCGCGCTGAGTGATTGCTGTGAGTGATTTCGATGCTGCGATTTAGCAAGGTTTCCCGTATGCAAGATTGAATGCTAGGATATGCTTCTCATTGAACAGGCTCACACTACGAAAATCCGCCTTACTTAGTAGATTGTTTGGCTAATTGTACCGGACCACACTGATCAGTGACTGATCATCAGTCTTAGTCCTATAGAATCGATTTGATGCGCTCGTTTCTCCAGACGTTGAACCAATATACTAGCACTGAATAGGGCCACAGTAACTCGTACGGAGCTCCATACTAGCGACATAATACTGTAGTACGCAAAGAATCGATAATAATCGATGCTCAACGAAAATCAGTATGCCCATTGTGTACGAATGTTCTCAAGCTGAATAGCCGAGCACTGTTCTCAATAAAAACTTCGGAAGCATGATCCCAGTGGGTGGTCATACGCTAGAGGCGGAGCTCGTCATGATCGCCCATTAAACACAATTTTACTATTATCAGTCTCGAGGCGAGGCACAGTATCGGACGAATTCCGAACTCGTGCAACAGAAAACCAGAAAACTGCCCGTCACGGGCAGCCCGTGCGACCATCACTAGGCGGTCCCTACAGTAGGGACCCTACTGAAAATGGTCAATCCTAAAAATGTTGAAGGGCGAGTGAATCCGTACCTGGGACTTTTTGACCCTTTAAAACTGGTGGAAGCCTGAAAATAGTGAACAAGAACCTCACTCGCCTCGATATGGTGAATATCAGCCATTCTTATACCACTCGCTCACGAAACAATATAACTTTGAATCATCACTCTCTCTCTGCCCGCGGATCTTTCGAGTGGTGACTCACCACTGGTGAGTTCGTTCTGAGCAAGATGTGCTAACATGATATCAGTGATACCTGATTCCGAGAGTATAATAACCCAGTTCTAACCTTCTTACGGTCAGTTCTGACTATCGTAACGTCTAGATTTCGCTTTTGAGTCATCCTGTGCCATGGTTGCGGACAGGAAGTACTGAATGGCGTAACGCCATTGGCTTCCTTTCTTCAGCCTTCACAACGCAAGGGAGCTGCACTATCATGAGGGATAAGGAGAATTCCGCGATGTCTTTTAGAGCCCTCTACATCAAGTTGAATCTGTTGCATCTAATTTCTGGCACTTATCGATTCTTCCAACGTCGACACTTGGCGAAAGTCGATGGTATCGATTTTATCATCCTTCTATGTCGTGACCACAGAGCCTCCATTGAAGATTAGAGACAGCAACACGCCATCTATCAACTTTCATTCATGATCATCACTGGTAGTCCACAAGTTGTGCAATCACCACACACCTGAGAGTTTACCACCAATATCACTTCGGTCATTTGGAGTTTCAGCCAAAACTCTCCCTCGCAGTGATCATCACTTATCTCATAATGGATACTACTTCTGTTTTGATTTTATACCAGTATTAATAAAGTACATGTGTCTCGTAATATTGTGGGCCTTGTTGTAGTATCACGAGTATTAACAGCAATGCATGAGGCAACAGGAACCAATGAAACGCTTATACTGAATTCCTGGATGGTATTGTATTTGGATTCCTGGACCCGGGAGGACTGCTAAGGAGACGAATGAGCTAAATTAGCCGAGCTAACTGGCCCAAGTTGGTCAATACCTCAACCGCGTCCCAAAATTTACAGCTCCCAAGTAGGACTGACATATACATATTCAGCCAGCAAAAACCCTCTCGATTGCAAATTGACCAGTGCCAGGGCTAGAACCTTTGACACACGATCTGAGGATAGGGGCATCAAGGCTCGCGGGAAACTCTTTCCGGTTCACCATTCCCAGGATCACTGTTTTCATGGACAACCCCATTTGGCGTTGTCGGACGAGAGAAGATGGACCACATCGCGCGAGTTCCCACTATCAAGCTACCTGGGAGTTCGGGTTCCAAGGACTGATACCGACAATTCGGATTTACAACCCCACAGAGATGGCCTTTCTCGACGGGTCGTCAGTTACGGCAGTTTCAGCCACCACAGTGTGATTTCATGCAACTTGCACGAAAATAGCGCGCGCGTCTAGTAGTTCGTACCAGTGGCTCTTATCGGCATCAGTGGGATGCTACGTGGAAGCCCGAAGGATCTTTGGGTAACGGCGGGCCGGAGGCCCGCCTACTCCAAGGTTTTAAGCACACCTTCCGCGGGTGCGGACACTCGACCCGGATTGTGCGGACACTCGGCCCCGGTAGCACTTTCCACGCTAGGACTAGAATTGAACTCCATATGAGGACGTCGGCACGAGAGAGGCGACCGCATCTAGTGGTCACCCCTCTCCCGTTTCCCCCTCTCCGAGTGAGGTGGTGCAGGAAGGGTTAATTCAGAATCGATTCTTGCATCGTATTATACGTGTAATAAGCAATTCTGGAAACAATTCTGAGTTTCGAAATCGGTTTATTGAACGACCCCGAAATCACAGGGATTTTTCCCTTCCCCTCACCTTAGTCGACCCCCAGCTCATGGTAGTAGGTAAAAGCAGCTCCGCACATTCCTCTATTGGAGGAAGTGTTTCTCTCGGCGGAGACATCCTACAACAGCAGATGATGACCAGGGTGATAGAAAGAGTCGTCTCTAGAACCATAAAAGAGGTAGAAAATGTCATACAACGAAGTTGATAATATACTCCTCTTAGGTTTACGCCGACGTACTAGATGCTATAGCAGTAGATAGCGTAACTCTCGTTGAGAACCGTATCGGCGCTATGCTGGAGTCCTCATTAACACCTATAGCGTTGCAACTGCGAGAGATACGTAACCACTTCGGCATTCACTCGTCATACGAACCTGCAACAAGAGCTCACAATCATTTTCACGGACGGGAAAACTCGGATGTAGAGGCTGGACATCACAAAAGTCGCAAGTCGATCTTCTCGCGAGCTCATGCTGCGCACCATAGACGTGCTAGTGCGGGGTCTGCAGATAAGACACTTCCTGATGGGAGAAAGTCTTATCCGAAAGTGGAATTTCGGAGGAGAGCTTCGTCGATAGACGCCATTAAATGTAGCATCTCGCCCTGTAAGGATCCTGCGGTGGATCGAACGAGTTCGGAACCTCGCTCTAAGTCGACATCAGCAGCAGCGCGCTGGAGGAAAGCTCGGGAGAATGTACTTCGAGGAGTAAATAAAATGCCGTCATCGTCGGATGGAAACGTCGGGGCAGGCGTGCAGATTCCTCCACCACCATTAGAGGCTCCACCTGAACAGAGAACGGAGCAGTTGATGTTCAGGCCGGGCAGACGACCACGAATAGAGGCCGAGCATAGGGTGTTACCGAGAGAAGTAAACGCAGTTGAGGGAGGAGTGGTAGAAGGAGAAGCTGAGGAAGATGCGATACGGAGCGAGAAATCATTGAAACGATCGGATAGCAGAATAACACCAAGCTTGGCCTTAGGAGAAGCATTGGGGTCGACCGAGACCACTGATAAACGGAAAAGTATTTCGAATCACATGACGAGGAGAGGACCTGAAGCAAGGGGGACTTGCCGGTTGGTCGGTGGCACTCGAGGATCTTTAATACAACTTGCGAAGGAGGTGAGGCAATGGCCAGTTGTTGGACCTATTTTGTATCTTGTAAGCTCAACCTAAAGATATTCTCTCAGGAGCATGGAGTTGACAAGGAGCATAAACACGATGGTGTTATACTTCCCATCAATGGTAGTGAAATATGGCAACAACAAAATCGATAATTTACTTTTATAGATTCTCTCGAGGCGAATCGAGACGGAGCAACAACTACTACGATCGTGTCAGAAATGGCAAATATGAAGAAGTTGGCCGCCAAGTACAGGGAGGAGTTGGAAAATGAAGATCCAACATTGGCGTTATGTGAGTAGTGCGCACAGGGAAGAATATCTTTGGATGCGCATGCGTGCAGTATCTGCTCTTGTGGTAGATGGCCTCAGCGGAGAGCTGAGCGATGGAAGTCTTGTTGGGTCGAGGATTAGTGTCAATGGACAGTCCCGTTCCAAGAGGCTAAGACAAGAGGAGGTGAGGCAATGGAGTGCCACCCAAGTGATATGAAAAACATATTTCACGACTACTGCATATTACCGCGAATAATATCGCGTTTTTCACCGAGTTTTACACCACTTTCCGTAAAACGGGTGAAACTTCACAGTTGTAGGATTTCTGCTGTGTTGGAGTAGGAATATATGTTCGCTTTCCTCAACTGAGCTCAGGAGCTTCCAAAGCTAATCATAGGAGCTTATATACGCATTAGCATTCAGTAACAAACGAGGATTCACCATAGTTTCCTCGGAATTTTCATCACGTCACCGACACCCGTAGTAAACCACCTTCTATGAGGTTGTTGCTCATCTAATCTCAGCGTTGAGTAGCATGCATAGGGTCGACTATGCGTATAAGAGAAAATTATCGTTAGTTTCTGCACACACTCCTGCCCGATGAAATTAAACATTTACTGCTCATAGTTTTCATTGTTTTCAGCTGGAAAGGATGGTATCGTTGGTCCCCGATGACACCAATGATGACGGACAGAAGCAGCGCACCTTCGTGAACTACCTCATGGAGGACCCCTTCGAGGCCATTAGCACTGGCGCTAGGTATCTTGTTGCTGACCCCTATTCACAGACTAGGTGAGCTCATCCTCGTTGGAGTTTCACCACCCGTTTTACGTGAAGTGAAGAAAATGCACTTTGCGAAAATATCCCCCAAAGTGTTATACGTGTTATTCGCTGCTCACTAGTGTTTTTTTCATACCATCGTCTCGTCAGGTTGTCCTGGGACTTAGTCCTTTCCATATGCATTATGTATCATGCAACGCTGATTCCATTTTCGCTCGCCTTCTACCTCACCGATGAAGATCGAAAGCAATCCCAGCTGATGCATTTTCTGCCGCTCCAAGATATCATTTTCGCTGTCAACATACTCGTGACGTGCTTCACTGGAATCTATAGAGATGGTGCACTGGTTCGGGACCCGCGAGTTCTCATCTGCCAATACCTCAAGACTTGGTTTATCATTGACCTCGTCGGAGCGTTTCCATATTTCTTTTTCCCCAGCGAGTCACTCGTGTGCAACTGTCTGAGACTGCTCAGACTTGTTCTTGTCGGCCGAACGGCGTACTTGCGACATCACGTTATGACTCACATTGAGTATCGTATGGAAAGTGAAGTGCTGGTGCTCCTCGTGGGGGTCTCCAAGTTGGTGATGCTGTTGGTGCTGGTGGCTCATTGGGGTGCCTGTATATGGTGGGCAGTCGGAGCGGACGGCTATTTAGCTGAGGGGGGCCCCGGGGGGTGGATAACGGTATACATCACCCCACCCCGGTTCGAATCTTGGTGAGCGCATTTTTCTCTCAGGAATTCGGCTCTGTCGATGACGACTGGTGGTACATGACGCGAATACAGCAGTATGCGGCTTGTCTGTATTTTATGATATCAACCATCACGACGGTCGGCTACGGTGACATCCACGCGTCGAATCACCACGAAAGAGTGTAGCCTCTCTCTCGGTGACGACCTTTGAAAACACTTTTTTCTCTCAGATTTTGCATAATATGCGAAATAGTAGCCGGCAATTTGTTTGCATTGTTTTCTGGTCTACTATGTTCGTTAATTTTGACATATGATGAAGTTGGTGCCGACTTCAGAGCTCGGTTGAAGACCGCGATGAAGTAGTGATGATACGTCGTATCATCACTGTGAGTGTAATTGGTGTTTAGGTACATGCACAGCAACAACGTCGATCACAGAGTGCAAGTTCAAGTGAGGCGGTTCCTCGAGAGGCTCTTTCAGAACCAGGCTAACGAGCAGGCCAAGTCTGACTTACTCACGTAGGCAACAATTCTGCTTGGAAGTTGAGCGATTTACGGTATTAATATTATTTTTTGCCCGCAGTAAGGATAGTTAATCGAAGTTTCACATATAAAAAAGTAGTGAATAACGTATTCCGCGACTACCGCATATCACCGCGAATATCGCGTTTTTCACGTAAAACGGGTGGTGAAAGTCCATTCAACTGTGTTCGAGTAGTAGTAGTTTCAAGGCATCCACTGGACACCCATAGACGCACTTGAACATGTGGTATGTCGTCGCTTTACCCTCTCAGGATGCTACGAACATCTGATGGGCTTCGTAATAGAGTATTGGTAGGAGTGATGGGGAGGATGCTGAAACACTACAAGTGGTTTGACGTGAAGATTACAGATATTCAGCTCGGCCGAGTTGCCTCTGTCGTTTTAACCAAGTGAGAAGTTTATGCTCATTCCGAAATGTGTTTGTCGTGAAGACGACGATGACGACGACCGTGTTAAGGTATAGGATCACCGTATTTATTTCTGGCGTTAATGTTAACTTCAAACTCATCGAGAAAGAGCATCTGATACCATTTGAAATTCAACGTATTACTAAATTCCTCAGTGTTGCGGGAAAAATTCTGGTAGCGTTTCTCGATCTGGTGGAAATTCTAAAATGGGAAGTAGTTTTCTGGCGCACTCGCGATTAAGAGTTTGTATGCGTCCACAAGCAGAGCTGCAATGTATATGTAATCGCTTTCCTCAGCTGAGCTCATGAGTTTCCTCACTTATCATCGGAGTCTATGAAAAAGTCGGGTTAGATGTCCACAGAAACCAGCAAGAATTTCCCGAAATTTCCTCCCAAAATTTTCATATTGTCACCAACACATGTGCGATTTTTACCACACCGTCCGCGGAAGAGTTTTCGTTGTGCGGGCGGACCTTCTCATCGTCCCTGTTTTGGTAGACTATGTATTAAAATTCACTTGTCCGCAGAGTACCCGAAAGTTCGGAATTCGAACATATCATTTGAAAAGCTCTCGGCGAACTATTTTTTTGTCGAGTTTTGGAAGTGACAGACTATAGCCAATTCCATTTGGGCAACCGTGTGTGAATGAAATGTATCTACCTTTGTTACTCGACAATGGAGTTTCACCCTAGTGATGTGAAAAACATATTTCACGACTACTGCATATCACCGCGAATATCCCGTTTTTCACAGAGTTTTACGTAAAACGCGTTGTAAAACTTCATCGTGCGAGCTCATATGTTTCCTATAGTTCCTCTTCGTATCACCCCAACAGGTATTTCGCTCCGGGAGATCTGCTATTCTATGCTGGGGATAGAGCTGATTGTATGCTATTCGTAGTAAGGGGGCTCATCAAGTGCAAGAGGGATAGGACATGTAGGTTAACCAGAAAAGAATATTATATTATCTGTTACGGTTTCAGGTGAAGTTCCCGCGGCATTAAGGCGTAGTCGTCAACCGGGAAATGCTTATCCTTCTTTTTTGGCACTCAACGATCGGCCCGGAAACTCCATCGCGAGTGATGGTAGAGCCTCTATATATGGTCTTAGTAAAACGCTGATGGCGCTGGAGCCCGGCGATTATGTGGGTGAAAAAGCCCTGTTTGTGGACGATTATACCTGGCCGCAAATCGCCGTATGCGCGACTTTTTGCGAAGTGTATCAGCTGGATAGGAAGTCTTTTATCGAGTGCGTTGATGCTATGCCCGATCTGCACGGACCGTATCTGGACAAATGCCTCTGCGTTGCAATGGAAGATATTGGTGGCGAAAATGCTCCCGAGAAAAGCAAACGAATTAGGGAATTACTAAGTAAACTTTGGAAATTATTTGTTTCTATTCACATTTTCCCTGTCAGTTGACGGAGCGTCGCCGAATTCGGTTGATGAGAATAACCGTCATGTGATATGCGAACCGTCACTGCGCGGAAATGTTGAAGTTCTTCTATTGCTAGTTGGCTTTGGGACTAATGTGAGGGGAAGGAGATATTGGAGTTTCACAACCCGTTTTACGGAAAGTGGCGTAAAACTCGGTGAAAAACGCGATATTCGCACTATGCAGAAGTCGTGAAATTATGTTTTTCACTGGTGTTTTTTATATCACTAGGGTGGTGAAACTCCATTGAAGAATCATGGGTGTTTGAATTTTACGTTATCATTGGAGTTTCACCACCCGTTTTACGGAAAGTGGCGTAAAACTCGATATTCGCGGTGACATGCAGTAGTCGTGAAATATGTTCTCTCACTAGGTAAAAATAACAGAGTTTATTATATTTTATAGGTGAACTTTTTCCTAAAACCAGAGGGGGATAGCACGGCAATCGGCCCGAGCAATGCGGCCGATGCTGTGGCAGCACTAGGACGGCAGATCTGGAATCGAGGCGGGCAGGTCCGGTTTGGTGAGGACCTGGGCTCCAACTCGTCGGTGGGTGAGATTGACAGAGAGGAATCGGCAGTATATGGCAGTGTAGGTTGCGGTATGTCGTCTCTCGATAGTCGCATTTCGTTGGTATTTGTATATTTTGTGATTTTTTTGCATTGAAATGGCCATTCTCGCAGTGAGGAAGTGTTGTTATATACTCGTTGAATAGTTGTAAATTTTGATATACCTGTTTTCGCGAGATTCTCGCAAAAACTGTGCATACTACCTTTATAGTGTATAGATGTATACTACTACATGAGAAATAATAGTGCATAGGAGAATATAATATAACATAATAAAATGGCACAATAACTACATTGCAGAAGACTTATATCCAGTGTGGGAATATATGCACATGGTCAACTACACGTGTTGCTAGGAATATGGGAACTTTGAGGAAGTTTTGTATACTTATACCCAAAATCGTGTGATTTTTCATAAAATGGTGAGGAAACCTACGAGCTCAGTTGAGGAAACCAAACATATATTCCTTCCGTGTTTTATGTTTTTGGTCATTTTAGCGCATGTCAACTGAGCGGCAAGCTCCTCTACAAATGTGCGTCCAATCGGGGAACACAGCTGCGGTCGCTATTCTGGCAAGACATACGAATCTGTTGATAATGGAGGAAGAGGAGGAGGACAACAACCCTCTGGCCGCAATAAGGTTGCTCACGAAAGGACCTCTGCTGGATCCGTTGGCGCCTATTCTGAAGGCTTCCCTGCTGATTCGATACGAGGTGGGCTGCGTGGTCGAGTAATTCAATGGAGTTTCACCACCCTAGTGATATGAAAAACACTAGTGAAAAATATATTTCACGACTACTGCATAGTTTGAATATCGCGTTCTCACCGTGTGTTACGCCTCTTCACGTAAAACGGGTGAAACTCCAATGGTGAATGTCGGTGATAAATTTAGAGATGTCTATAATAGAATTAAATTTAACAATTATAGTGATTGTATTAGAAACTAGAAAACTAGGACACCAAAAATGAGGAGAATTTGTCAACTTTTTATGAAAACAGCAGTTGGGTGTACAGTTTACTCTGATAGAGATCTATTCGGCTTTGAGAGATAACGCCCCCTCCTAGGGATTGATAATAATGGAGGAAAATGTTGCTAATGTGATGCTGACATTTACATGGGAAACTGATTGAACAGGAGAAAATTCAAAATGAGCTCATCGCAGGAATATTGGATGATACTCTACCATCGGCAGGTGTTGGCCGCCGCGGTGATGCAGGGGTGTCAGTCTGTGGCATTGCGAATAATAACAGAAGGGAAGAGGAAACAGGAGAGCACCGGCGTCGAGTTTGACGTCATGCGAGTGAGTTCTGGTTGAAATTTCTTACCGAAAATTCACCGCGCGTTATAGATTTTCTACGGATATGAGGCTGCGGGCGTGCCCATTATCCCCATGTTTCGAATGCCGCTGCTGCCAGCTGAGCTGGCAGAAAAATACGGCAGTGATATCGAGGGACGAAATCTGATTCATTTGGCGGTTGAAAACGGTCAAGTAGAGGTGAGCGTTCGTGGGTTGATAGGAATCTATGATTTTTATTAGATGTTGGAGGCTCTGATAAACACTAATTTGTTCCCGTTGCCATATGCATTGGAGGCTCCTACTGAGCCTAATCCAGCACCACAGATCGAGATGCCTATGCTGGCGGTCGGGGCGGGGCATACGCCGCTTCATTTGGCGGCATTGAAGGGGAACATCGATGTTGTTACTAGCCTTGTGGACGCGGGAGTAAATGTGAATATCACTAATCGACTTGGGCAAACGGTGAGAATTGTGGTGAAGATGATGTGATCGTAGATATCGGCGTTGGAGTAGGAATATATGTAATCGCTTTCCTCAGCTGAGCTCGGGAGTTTCCTCACTAATTGTAGGAGTTTATATGCGAATTTAGGTAGAAGTGCTCTGAGATTGAGTTCGTTTCTAAAATTTTTCTCAAAATTTTCATGTAGTCACAGACACATATGCATGTTTCCCCACAGGGAAAAACTACTAAAATTAATGGAGTTTTACGTGAAGTGGTGTAATACTCTATGAAAAACGCGATATTCGCGGTGATATGCAGTAGACGTGAAATATATTCATCACTAGTGTTTTTCACCATATCACTAGGGGGAAACTCCACTACTCAAAATGATATGATTTCGATAATTAGATTTGGATAGATGAAATTGTCAGTTATTGCAGATACTCGATGTGGCGCTTAAATACGACCAGGAAGACGTCGTTAATTTCATACGAGCTCTCGATCTCTACGACGCTGCCAAGCAGGGCGACATAGGAGTCTTTGACCATCTTGATCCGCGCAGGAGAGAGCACATGGTAGGCGTATGGTATTGGATGGCGTTTTCGGGAGTTCTTTATGATGATTTCAACTGTTCCTATGGATGAAAGCGCGTCGAACTATGGTTAGTGTCGATCAAGATGTGTGTTGCTGCCATAATGATATTTCGAATGATACTGATTTGCCGTAGCAGCGGCATCGTGAAAATGTTTAGACCAGAAAATTCACTCAGAAAAGTGTCAATTCGCATCATCCCAAAACGGGCAGTACTCCGCTGTATATAGCGGCAAGCTCGGGGCATGTAGACGTGGTGAAGAAGCTGATCGAAGTGAAGGCAGACGTTGACAGGTGGGGGAAAAATCACAGAAATTGAAAAATAAACTCATTAAATTTCAGACCGATGCCCTCGACATTTACAGCGCTACATGGCGCCATCTCTGGTGGGCATGTTGATGTTGTTCGTGTGCTGTTGGGGGTTGGAGGAGCTAACCCCACGACTCGCGTCGGGTCTGTCGATGTTGACAAGGGACGATATGGAATATCACCGCTCGAAACGGCTTTGAAAAAAGGCAAAAGTGAAATAATTGACTTGTTGTACACGCGCATAGGACCCCGTGGGGTTTCCATAGACGATCTTAGAGCGGCCGCACAGAAGAGAAACTTTGCGTTTTTCGATAAAGTTGTGAAGAGGAATCCGTTCCTCTTGAATGACGCCACGAACGCTCTCGGCGAGAGGCTCGCGCATGTCGCGGTGAAATGTCTTGACGCGAAAGGCTTGGAAGAGCTGAAAATGAGGGGTGTTGACTTCGCCAAGTCGCGTACTCTGGATGACCACGGAACTCTCTATTACGCGTGCAAGGCAAACCGAGTAGAGACTGTCAGATGGCTCCTAGGGCCCAACAGCGGCTGCGAAGGAGAAATTCTAGCGAGTGACTTGTCGCAATGCTTATTGCTCTCATGCGGGCTGGCGAAATCGAAGAACATAGTGAGCCTGCTGTTGCGGTTAGTGAAGGTTGACGAAAATGAACAAGGAAAATATTATGCCACTTGTCTGCAGAGTGCGTGGGATATCGGCAACCGCGACGTTTTTATGATGCTGATCGATGCAACAGTGGAAAAAATAGATTTCCAGTATGTTCAGCCTTGGAGTTCGTTTTTGCTCTATTACGTGACTGAAGTTGGCGACCCGAACGGCTTGAAGAGAGTGTTCGAGTTTTTGATACCGGATTTTGACGCCTTGGGGTCTGTCGGATGCGACGCCCGACGAGACTTGGCGGACTCGCTTTTGAGCGCTCTCGAACTGTCAGTGTGTCGAGCGGCTTTGCGAGAAATGATGGGGACGTTGGATGGCGACTCCGAAGATGGAAACTCATCCAACGAAAAGGAAAAGGTGGAAGAGTTGATTGACATCATTTCTGATCTCGAAAGAAAACTTATGAGGATTTCTGAGGAGCAAAAGTCTAATGGCATTGACCGAGCTTTGACAGGCATCCTGCCCAGGAACAAGACATTAGCTTCCTCGGCTAGGTCGATCGCCGCGGCCTCCCACAGCCGAGCGACACGAGCAAAAATTTCCCCTCAGGGTTCACCGTGACGTTGAGAGTTGCTAATTTTCTCAATATTTTATAGCATGATTACAGTGTTGTTCAGCTGCTGTGATGAAAACTGTGTTGTGTTGCTTATTTGGGCGGCATGGGAAAACGGTTGCTCCTCGAGTCACCATTTGTGGTTCGCAAAGTCGTCCTCTCGCCTGCCTCCGAGAAAGTTCTATCCACGGCAGAGACTAAAATGAGCTCAGATTGGAAGGACGACCCCAACGAGGAATGGATGTCGATACTGAAGGACTGCTTATTAGCAGTGAGATCATCGGTTCCGTGTAGCGCAACTAGGGTGAAACATTTTTAAGGAATTTCCAGGGCCCCGCTTGGCCTTCCTCCCAAGTTGATTGACCGCTACCATTGAGTTTATCGCGTTGGGGCCCCATGGCATTAGATTTTCAGGGCCGAGCTCGACAAACTGGGCCGAAAATATTTTTTTACGGAAGGCTTATGAAATAACAGCATTGAACGCGATTGTATAATTCCGTCTGCAACGACGATACACCCGACTGAGTTGCGGAATTCGCTTTGCGTAGCACCCGGGCGGAAACGACAAAGCAACCAACAGCAAATGAAAACCCCTGAGAATACAAATATTAACATTGGAAGTACATTCATACGGACGCATGCAGCCACTGAGCCACATGGAGTCCTCGACTCAGTGAAGAGGGAGATCCTGGGCATCTGACTGTCGGATGCCACTGTTACTGCCGTCACTGTCAGATTCTGACAGTGACGGCTTCCATGCCGGTTAATGTGGTTCTATTCCCATTCTTTCCACAATCACAACAAACTGGGTAATTCCCTTCCTGTCACTCCTGGGCGCGCGAACGCCAGCATACACCCACCTTCAGCCGACTGCTGTTCTACTGGATGAGTACCACTTCACGGTATACTGCGCTCAGAGAGGGGAGTGACATATAATTTCGCATCTACGATTTCCACCTGGCTGACGGGCGTCAATAGGTCCATGCGCGATGAAAGGACCGACAAATTTCGAGTTCTTATCTTCACCATGGCGACTGAGATTGGTGTATAGTGGAATTCACCTCAACACAACTCAGCTGTAAAAAGACCAACTAGAGATACACGATAGCGTGTTATAAAGGAGTGATATTATAGTAATGAAAAAATTAGCTGTTGGCGAAGGTGAGGCCATTCTGAATGTCGCCCTTCAACTTCTTCTTGACCTCCCCAAGGCGCCCCTTCTCGTACGCAGTTAGGCCCTCTAGTCCGTGAACTCTGGACACACCTTCAGGGCCAAAGTCACATCTATACGAGAAATACGAGACATCTTCGAAAGGCTCGTTAATGTAGGCGCATGCAGCGGTAATTTGGCCGCGCTGACCACGAATAATAACGTCAACGAACTTAGCCGCCGCATAGGCCATTGACAGTGTCGCCGAACCAGCGCCGTTCTTCGCCTCGACAACCTCCGTACCAGCGTTCTGAATACGCTTATCCAGCTCTTCGATGGTCCCCTGGTCGAGCTTGATTTCGGGCCTAGCCTGGGAGAACAGCGTCATGATGGTCTCACCAGCGTGACCGCCAATGACAGGAACGTCCATATGCTCTACGTCCAGACCGGTTTTCTCACTCACGAATGTGTTCGCACGAGTGATGTCCAATTGGGTGACACCGACGATTTTCTTTGGGTCAAAAACTCCAGCTTTTTTGTAGATCTCAGCGGCGATGGGGACAGTGGAGTTGACTGGGTTAGACACAATGCACAACGTCGCCTTAGGGGCGTACTTAGCCGAGGCGGTCGCCAAACCGCGAACAATACCAGCGTTGATTTTAAAGAGGTCATCTCTGGTCATGCCGGGCTTGCGAGGGACACCAGCTGTCATCACAATAACATTCGCGCCGGTTAGGGCCGCCTCAATCTCGTCGTCACCAGCATAGCCGACGACCTTAGCAGGAGTGTTAATGTGGCTTATATCAGCAGCTACTCCCGCACACGGGACCATGGCCTGCTTGATATCATAGAGGGCGAGCGTGGTGATCATAGGGTTCAGCTTGAGGAGCATAGACAATGGTTGGCCGATACCACCGGAGGCGCCGAGGAGGGTCACTTTAGTCATGGGGGTAACAATGGCGATGAACTACATGGCGCAGCAGTTCGAATACCGCCGACGACCGGCCATGACAATCCTACGCATAAGAGAGACAACATCGAATAAACAACTAATGAGACCCAAAATGCACCACGAGGTCTTAGGTCTTTCACATTTAACACACATGTCACCCCGACTAATAGGAATCTATGTTCGCAAGTCAAGAGCAATCGTCATTCTTGGGTGTGCGTATGAACAACAATGTGAAACGGTTGACATATCTTCTGCACCATGCATAGTGGAGGATCAAGACGGTCAAGACTGCCGAGAGAACAAACCATTCACACGGGTTACATATCAAGGGGAGAATGCAGGTACTACAGCCGAAGGGATCATCAACAGGATCGAATCCCTGTCCGAAATGGATAACAACGCGACGCCCAAAAATTGAGACCGTGGATGAGCGCACCATGATGGTCATGACCAACCAACCGTCTTCTCCAACGATCTAACTTTCGCATCGATTCCATCGAGGATGAGCTGAAACAGAACAGGGCGATTGAGTCTTGCTACCGAACCATTTACTGAGGTCGCCATGTACTGCCCCAGCAGCTCCTGCACGTCCACAGCCGTTGCTGAGAGTTCAGCAGAGGTCTCGTAACGCATATCAGCAGCAGTCTCGCGCAGAGTGGTCAACACTGGTAACAGCTCATCTGAACGAGGCGAACATCGGGGTTCCGACGAGAGGCATTGGAAGCGACCTGTGAAGGTTTCCACTTCATGAGGGAAGCCGTGACGGGTACGCACGCGATTGAGGATCCTTCGAGTGTCATCTTGCTGCATTGTGATAACCTAAGGAGTACACTGTTGTATTCACGAAATGGCGATGCTAATGACAGGACCACTAGTTGAAGTAATAGGGCTAGTCACAGCACCACTAGTTGAAGTAATAGTGCTAGTCACAGGACCACTAAATGGAGTAATAGGGCTAGTCACAGCACCACTAGTTGAAGTAATAGGGCTAGTCACAGGACCACTAGTTGAAGTAATAGTGCTAGTCACAGCACCACTAGTTGAAGTAATAGTGCTAGTCACAGGACCACTAAATGGAGTAATAGGGCTAGTCACAGCACCACTAGTTGAAGTAATAGTGCTAGTCACAAGACCACTAGTTGGAGTAATAGTGCTAGTCACAGGACCACTATGAAAGCGAACTCTGCGGATCAGACCCTGATTGATGACCAGCGGCCTGACGTTCCTGCGTTCTGATAGTCCAATCACAGACTTCATCATCAGGCAATGAAGCGACAATACCGATGTTCTGCAGAATGATATATGACTCGTATAATACGAGTGATAAGCAACATCGAGATTCAATCAACGGCACAAAGCATAAATCGTCGCGCACACGAGGAAAAATATGATCGAATATGGAGATTTCCCATTGAGGGCCACCTCGAGGTCGGCTCCGGCTTGAGCGACTCCACGTTTGAGACCAGTAGCCGTTGGGGATATCATATCACGGATAGTCGTTGGTGCTCTGCGAGATGACCTGAACGATACACGATCAACACAAGGATGTTGCCCTACACCAACAGGAAAAACATTTCTGTAAACTAACACTTGAAGGCGACCATCGAGCATAGAAGAAATTCCACAAATATTTACCATAAAGATTTCACCAAAAAAACCGGAGAGACTCTTTCCTGTTATTTTTCAATGTTCAACCTCACCTCGACACGCGCTGCTTCGTGCTAATTCCCGCGTCAGCGAGTACTCGTGCCCGGATCGATTTAGACGCCTGTTTGTTATCGGCGGTCATCGCCCGGTGGCTCTCGTGATCTACCGTCATTGCATCTAACTCCTAATCATTTGCCCAATAAAATGCTCACCTATTTGCTCATCTCCATCTGCTGTGTTCGCCCTACGAAGCACCTTCCCACGTGAAATCTGAACGGTCAAGCATTTCTATAGTTGCTATCAGTATCTACCCCTCGATGGTCTTGTCTACTCGTGCACTCTGCAGTCGCCGTTTGCTCTCGTGAAGGTTCCAACGTCTTCGCGTCTCGACATGTAGATTTCTTCCCGGTCATCAAGTTACAATCACACTTTCTTCGACTCAACTTGAATAAGCATTTCAAATGAGCCACGTTTGTGTTCTCTCTACAGTGCTTTGCCCGAATAGGATTAGTTATGCAGCTGAAAATTGAGTCTGAGATTGCATTCCACGTTTGAAAACTGATTTTACGATTCCAAACTTCAGAATACTTGGTATTCCGAACTCAGTGCATTTTTCCATTCTGAAACGACATGCCAGAGAGCGTTAAGATAACGCAGGGTTTCAAGCAGAGAAACACCAAGGTTTGGTGACGAATTTTCAGCTGATCGAAAGCGCTTTCCATCACACATCCCAGAGAGCGTTGCTGGAACCCACTGAGCCACAGCTCTCTCGAGATCTCACCACTCCGCGCCGTGTTGCATCGATCTGGCTATACTCGAGGCTTGCACTTACCCATCCCGACGATGCGTCTCAATGCAACTATATCTCTTACAATTGTCATGTACACAACACGAAACGGATAATGAAAAGCCATCAACCCTGAGGGTTTGTGGAGGGACCCGGTGTCCCTTTAGATGAGAAAAGCAGTAAATGGTGAATGAATTGCTGTGAGTCAACTTACTACTGAGAATCGACCTTGTTCATGTAAACGGCGAGATCAACGAGGCGGTTGGAATATCCCCACTCGTTATCGTACCACGAGACAAGCTTAACGAAGTGGTCGTCAAGAGCGATACCGGCCTTAACATCGAAGATGGATGAGCGCTTGTCATGGATCATATCAGTGGAGACAACATCATCATAAGTGATACCCATGACACCCTTCATATCGCCCTCGGAGGCCTCCTTAACTGCAGCAATGATATCGTCATAGGTGGCGGCCTTCTCGAGACGGCAGGTAAGATCGACAACAGACACATCAGGAGTGGGAACACGGAAGGCCATACCAGTCAACTTACCGTTAAGGCATGGAATAACCTTACCGACGGCCTTAGCAGCACCGGTAGAGGCAGGGATGATGTTGGCTTCGGCGCAACGACCTCCTCTCCAATCCTTACCACCCTTAGCGGGACCATCAACAGTCAACTGAGTGGAAGTAGTGGAATGAATGGTTGACATGAGACCCTCGACGATGCCAAAGTTATCGTTCATAATCTTAGCAAGAGGGGCCAAACAGTTGGTAGTGCAAGAGGCGTTAGAGACAATCTTGAGATCAGAAGTGTACTTCTCGTTGTTAACACCCATCACAAACATCGGGGTATTATCCTTAGGAGGAGCGGATATGACGACCTTCTTAGCGCCTCCTTGGAGATGACCAGAGGCCTTCTCACCGGTAGTGAAGACACCAGTAGATTCGCAAACGTATTCAGCACCAGCCTTACCCCACGGGATATCGCAGGGGTTCCTCTCGGCGAAGACCTGAATGATCTGACCGTTCACAATGAGGGCGTTTTCAGCGACCTCGATGGTACCGTTGAACTGACCGTGTACGGAATCATACTTGAGGAGATACTTCATATAGGGGATGTTCATGAAGGGATCATTCACAGCAACGACCTTCACTTCGGGGTTCTCCATAGCAGCACGGAAAACAAGACGGCCGATACGACCGAAACCGTTAATACCAAGTTGGCACACCATTATGGGTAGTAGTTTATGATGAAAGATAGCAAACTAATAACAGTTTGATGATGATAATAAAGATAATCTCTTCAGAGAAGTGCGCAGCCAAACTCAGCTCAGCGCAAGATGCCCACATCAGCGATGTCTACCTGAGCACATCCTTAGCTCGTCTCGATGTACCCTATGCGAAGGTTTTTGTTAATTGGCTAGATCAACTCAGTAATATGGTTGCTTACTCCTTGTTTGAGATTTTCTCTTTGTCCTTGTTATGTGTGACCCAAAATTGAACACTGTTCCTGTGATTGCGATTCGGTTACGGAATTATTCCTGGAGACACGTATCGGAGTTAGCTTACTGCACAATTTCTGTCTATCCCAGTCTCATCATCTCTACGTGGTCTTCACTCAACACAACCAAACGAAGATAGAAACTCCTCGTCACACATGAACTCGACGGCGACAGTTGCATGATGGCTTCGACTATGTCGTTGTTAGCAGCCTTCAGAGCCTTCACCGCCTTTGACCTCGAGCAGTTAACTTGACCCATCACCAATTCGACGTCCTTCGCTTCTACGCCGCTCTCATCGACATCACTTTCGTCCATATCGTCCTCAACCACCGTGCCGGGGACCAGAGGGTGCGGGTTGGCGTCAACTTTGGATACTTCCGGCATCATGCCTGTGAACTGGGACGCTGCAGCGGCCTGAATGGTAAGATACAAAACATGTCTAAATGGTAAGATACAAAACAGGTCTAAGTGGTAAGATACAAAACAGGTCTATATGGTAAGATACAAGACAGGTCTATATGGTAAGATGCAATACATGTCTAACTTAGACAGTCTAAATAGTAAGATACACAACAGGTCTAAATGAGGCACTCTCCCACCTGCGACATAGCTGACATGTCTCCAACTCTCGCTTCGCCAAAGACAACATAAGTATCACCACCTGCCACTTTCAATACGTCCGGTTGGGAGATCACGAACAGCATCTGAACGAACAAGTGAATACCACTACGTAGCAACATAAGGAAGGACTTACCTCCTTCCCTTTACGGACTGTAACTCTGACAATACCAGGCACTGGTTTCGACCCGAGCTTCTGAATGGCCCTTCGAGCTTTCTTCTCAGCTCGGTTTAGTTTGCCTCTCATAGCGGCGTGCTGGTCTTGAGCCGCCTGGGTGTAGTCCTCATCAGTAGCCTACAAGGTGGGCATCTCATCGTCGTCAGATGTATCATCGGATGAACACGACCGTCAACTTCTTCAATGATTGACAAGGAACTGCTCAGTTAACTTAGTTAACTAATACCGAGAAAATACAGAATGATATGTTGAATGAAAATCAAGTCCGAAAAAGATTCAGAGTCCCAGGGATTCTGCTACTCTTAAAATGGTCGAATTCCAGTTCCGAGATTCTTCTTCAAAGAGTGTAAATGAACTTCAAAATCGTCACCAAATCACAGGACCACTTCTAATGCACCATCGTAGAATACCTCACGGTAGAGCTACATATACCAACCATGACAGCTTTGACTTACTCGGCGCCGTTATCGTCAACAGATAGGACCCACACACCATAGTACCAACACACACTGTGTCGGTCTTCCAGACTTGATAGAACCAGGCGATAGCCCTTGACAGGGGCAGCTACACAACGCTGGACCGAGGTTGTCTCACTCGGGTGGAAAATTTTTCAAACCGCACTAGCCCCCGACAACAAGAGTTCAAGATTTCACTAAGTCGTTGGAAATCTTTAGAGTTTCCACGTCTCCGTTGAAACAGTTGAACGCTCAGTGCTAAGGTCTAAATTTAGTTGACCTTATCTCTTACCTCATGTGGTCCGCCTTCACAGCGATACTATCCGGCCTCGCGCTTCCCTTAAGCGAATGCTCAAAAGCTACTCCCGCGTCCGACACTCTTACCATGCCGGTCAAAGATGGCTTCGTCACAGTTAATGTCGGTGGTCAATCAATGAAATTACTACTGGATACTGGTGGCTTCGACTTGACTGTGATCGATGGGGGCTGGTATGAGAACCAGTACGGCAAAGGTGCCTGTGCTAAGTCCGAATCCGGATGCTATTTCTGCCCGGCAGAAGCCCCTTGCGACTTCGACAATGACCCATCTACGTTGGTAACGATTCTCGAGGATGGTCGAGCTATAAGGACGATTACCCGGAGTGCGACGGTCGCATTGAACGGCAAGGTCATCCGTGATTTTCCCTTTAAAGTTTCCGTACCAGAATCGTGGAATAAGACCGAACCCTTCCACGGTTTCTTCGGTATTGCCGATACGCCTCCCAAAGTTGCCTTTGAGAGTGCACTGAAATTCTTAGTTCGTCACTACATCGTAGGACGTCAATCGTATACTCTCCGGACCAATGTGCAACAATCTACTCAGTTTATTACCGGTGAGCTTACGCTTGGTGATAAGGTTGAAAAGAATAAGGACTCCAAATACATGTTTGCTGAATGGCACACGGATCCGGATCACCACTATGCATTTCCCACTATTTCACTGTCAACGACAGTGCTACAGAATGAACCTCAGAGTGTTGGGAAAAGTAAAGGGCTGAGGCTTGGGCACTCGAAACCCAGATTGATGTCATTGGTAACGGGTGCCAATGGTATTTATTTGCCTTACAAGAGCATACTCGACAGAATCGAAACGAAAATCAGACGGACTATGAAAAAGAAACTGGGTTATTCGGAAGACAAAATTGGAAAAATGTGCTATTTAGGAGGGGATGGATTCATTCACGTCAAGAAGGAAGCATACGATAGTCTGCCTGTGCTGAATCTGCAACTTGAGGGAGGGAAAGAGTCAAAACAGATTAGGATTCATCCCAAACATTATACCGGTGACACTGGAGGAGAGGATGTTATAATCTACATCAATCACTTTGGTAAAGATCAGAACATGCTGGGTACGCCTTTCTTCAGAGCGTATACTGTTCATGTTGATTACACTGATAATACGATAGCTTTACTAGAGAATCCATGATGTTGTTAAAATGCTCATGATAATGATGTTGTTGTTGTTGGTGTATTGGTGTGAGTATCTGTGTTGTAGGTGGTGATGTGGTGAACGGTTGATTACCTCCTTCCCATGAAACTCCATTGAAAGGTACAATAAGGACTGTTTGTGTATCTTTGTAATTACTGTCAAACTTGACTGTAACACACTAGACCAATGACAAGCTTATATTTTCATTGTCAATCAGATTGACAATGAAAATCCAAGGTTGACTCCATCGTGATTATAACAGAACCGAATTGTGCCATGCTTGAATTCTCAAGAACGAACTTGCCTGCAACACCGTCATTCTTGCCTACCCACTTATTAAACTTGCACGGGAAAATGCGTAGACGTGCCTGTTATGTTCAAGGTACACAATCACAGGCTTAAAAATGTCATGTATTACGCTCATCGATGTCATCACTAGTCAGACCACATTATACCATCGATATTCGTATAACGTGAACGTAACTCTACTTGACAGTTAGATTGTCTAGACAGACTAGCTCATCGATTTCAACACGAATCTAGAAAACTCACTTGCTCCGTTTGATATCTGATACACGAAAATTGAGGATAGGCTCTTTTTCTAATATCTCCTTTTCCTTGCGATTTCCTACAGCAGTTTCGTCCCGATGCTACTGAGTGTATACACAACACGAAACGGATTATAAAAAGTAGGCGAACAACCCTACAGGTTCACGGACTCTGTGACACAGAGGGGCCTAGGGCCGTATGCAGATCCTGATCCACAGATCGAGTACATGATCCAGATCACTCGCTGATCTTGATGCCTGAGCCAAATCCATCGTGATCCGAGATGCGTGAGTCACATCGTGATCTTTGATCCTGATCCTTGACTTTTGATCTTGATCCCTGAATTTTGATACTGATCCCTGATATGTGATCTGGATCTCGCGTAATCCTCATTTTTGATCCTGAATCAGGAAAGTTGACCATGAAAGTTTTTTCTCAAGGATCATAGATCAGGATTCCTGATCTATGATCCTTGAGAAAAAACTTGAACCATGAGAAATTCTCAGACGTCGTGCGAAATTAGGATGATCCGTCATCCATGTTGTACCGAGGGATCAATGATCCCGGATCATCCTCTGATCCAGATCAAGCACGAGATCAAATTCTTGATCCATCAAGAGGATGAGTTTAGTAAACTGAGTTTACGGATCAGTGGTGCAGCACCACTGATCACAGGATCACCGTAATTCAGCACGTAGAGCACCACTGGTCCCTGGCCGGGCCCTTTTGCTACGTTACACTACTCGTGATCCGTGATCCTGATCCGGGATCAGTGATCCATTCAAAATGCTACATTCATACGTAGCCTGCGTAGTACAGAGTCCGTAGTATGTACGAGGTACATTCGAAGAATGAAATACGACACGATGGCCGTTCGTGAGACCTATTTTAAGGCTCCATTTTCAGCGAGAAACGTGTACCTATATATTTACTACCATCCGAAACCATTACTAAACCTCAATATTTCCTAAGATAAGAGCATAGCATATTTTTCCTCGCTGAAGACGCCTGTCGTGTAACTCCCCTTGGTTATTGCACAATAAATTGTGAAAATATTTGGCAGATTGGGTAATTCTTAGCCACTGCTTTGGGTTGGTTCGCTTCTGCGCGATCAAGGATCGCGGCGACCCTCGGTCGTACATCTCACTAGTTGATAATTGATCGGATCACTCATGATGTATCAACTTCCCTGCTGATCCATGACCACAGGATCATGGGTGCTGTGAACCGCGGATCACGAGAATGATCTGTGATCCTGCACTATAATCCCAATTTTATTGATCTGAGTGAAAATATCGGATTCAGGCCATAGGATCATCATATTAAGCTCATTTCGTATTTTTTCTCTCAGGGTCACGCGTGGATCAGGATCCGCATACCGGCCCAGCCTGTATCACAAGGGCAGCTCACGGTGAGCTGCCGGAAAAATCGAACCACAAGGCGGTGGTCGCTGCGGACGGATCCACAGACTGTGACTCACCATCAGTGCGGGAGTATATGCACATGGCCAACTACATGTGTTGCTAGGAATATGGGAATTTCGAGGAAATTTTGCGAAATTATCGTTGATTTTCGTCTACTTATACCCAAAATCGTGTGATTTTTTCATAAAATAGTGAGGAAACCTACGAGCTCAGTTGAGGAAACCAAGCATATATTCCTGTACTGCTCACCACACTCCAGTCAGCGTCATTTATTAGGGCTGAGAATGCCTAACAACGGATACAATCCAAATATCTCCGCGGACTTACCTTGAAATATCGTTGAAGACAAACTCTAACCCTACCTCCGCATCGAGGGATTGTGCCGAGATGGGCGCGAAACATCCGCCGAAGTCTGGTGATCACCAGACAACCAACATCATACTTAAATCATCGGTATCGCACGAATAGCTGCACTGGCTTGAAGCTAGTAGCCCAGGATGTGCGCAAGATGCCTCCATGCCTCATCACAGGCTCATCGCACAATCACCCTCTTCTTCGTTGTGCAGGAGCAGGAAATTCCTCAACTACTGGAATTTCATTCTCGCCGATCAACCGGAGTTGATCACTGCATTGAGCAACACGTGCACGCAGAGGTGATAATTTTGTGGCGCGTGACGCGAGATGAACCTTGTACAGTGTCAGGAGCATAAGATGAAACCCCATTGGTATTGCCAAGTAGGCACTATAAGGCTGTGGTTTTGGCCCTCGAACGAACCCGGGCCATTTCTCTGATCACCTTGTGGTTGCAGGGTTTTCGGTCGTACCTCTCGGAGGAACTGATCTCATTGAGGCATATCTTGGGATGGCATAGCCGCCCCTCTCGGAGGAACTGATCTTATTGAGGCATATCTTGAGATGGCATAGCCGCCCCTCTCGGAGAAATTGATCTCATTGAGGCATATCTTGGGATGGCATAGCGGCCCCTCTGCTCACTTGGCCTCTGCCCGTAGTCTCAACTGCGGTATTATTATACCATTCCAATCCGAAAGTGTCAGCAATCGAAAGGTGAGTATTTATGGGATCCTCACATCAATTTAATATTACAGACGACGTCTGTACTGTAAAGATCCTCTCCCTCCCTGTTTTGGTCAGTGTATGCGGGTCATGTCTCGAATACAGGAGTTACTCACGTATGAAGGCTTCCGAGTACACTAGGTTATCATCCCTTTTAAGCTCACTCGTTTCTCGGTATCACTATCAACTGACTTGTATGAGTGGGTCAATGGGGGGGGGCTGCAGCACTCGCGTATTCTCATTGGGCTCGGAATAGTTATGGTAGTGTTGAGATTGATGAGTATGTAGGCATTTCTAGTAAAAATACCATGGAAATCACTCATTTGTCGCATTAAATTGTGAAGTATGTCATGTCCTACAACGGGGCCACCGTTCTTTAATATTCACTACTTCAACTCGACGACGTCTGCATACTAGCGCTAGGTTCAGGGGTTGGTCAGCAAGGTAACTCCTAACTGCATGCTACGAGTCAATATATACATTCAGTATCGATTGTAACGTCAACATGAAGTTTGTTCCGCACCTGACCGTACTTGTATATAATTCATGAGGAATCTATTCCCCTTCGTCTTCTGTAGTGGGAGTGACGAATGAACTCTTTTGGAGCCCGAAGTTGATTCTGCAACTTCACTTGTCATTTTTTCATTCTTTCATCTGTTTACTAGCGACTGCTCTAAAGAGCCTGCCTCTGAAAGTATAAGCTCAAATCGTAGATTTCACTAAGCCCATTGATATTGTCCACGATTCCCATGGAGCCGACTACCAACCCTCCTGAGAATCCTCCAACAGATGTCGAATCGGAGATATCAGACAATGAGGATGTGATCAGAAAGAGCAGTAGAACGAGCAAGCCTGTTGAGCATTTCGCTCCGCCACAGAAGAGGAAAATTGAGGCAAGGAAAAAGCTCCAGGCTGGAGAGGGAAAGGGACTCAAGCTGGGAGATATTGAAGTGGTAGGTGTCGGAATCGAACCGGGGACCTTTAGGATGATAACTCATGTGACAGGTTTCGAAGGGCATCAGTAAGGCTGCGGCTGATAGTGAGGGCCTCAAAAGGCTACATGTCTGTCTGTTTAACTCAATTGGGAAAGAATCCACTAGGAAAAGGGATGTGAGTATCTTCTGGTCGACTGCGCAAGATACGAAATAGGTCCGGATCGTGCCTTTTCCCAGATTCGCGCCTGGAACGGCTCCCAAAATTCCGAGGACCGAGAGAGGATCGAGAAGACTCTCTCGACCACTAAGAAACAGGAAGTGAGCTGCTCCTCGCAGCAACCTGTCTGCATCTTTACTTCTGACAGAGTTTGAGAGAGATCGCCCGTACACTGGGGTTGTCAGCATCTCAGAGCCGTACTGCCTTAGAAGAGGTATGAATTGCTTCTGTTATGGTGAAATATCTTTTCTATTTTTCCAGTCGATTTTGACATTTTTGGACATTCCGAAGGACGAGGGATTGAAAAAAGTGAGTGTACGGATCGCGCATGGAATCTTTCAATGTGTCGTCGGCTGTGATGGTGAACTTTACGATAATCTGAGGAAACGTGATGAACGCCATACGGAGTAGATCCTCAGGAGCAGATTCACGTTGCGAGGCTACAGTAGAATTTTTTATATTCAAATTTGTAAGCCAGAATTTCGAGCTGACAACTGAGAGGACGGGAAAGAATACCCCACATATCTTCTGAGATTCTGCCGATGGTATGACAAACACTATGACATGCGAAGTCGCTCCACTAGTTCGAGGGAATTTTTATAGAGATAGAAATTCCCAATAATCGCCTTTTCTCTATCACAGCCAAGAGCCAAGAGACGAGCCTCTACTGCCAGAAAAAGGAAGATCAGCAAGACTACCCGACAAGGCTCGGGGTTTTCCAATTTCCTCACACAGAGAACGAAGGAGATGAAGAGCACCGAATCAGGGAAGCTCCTCACACCCAAGGAGATTACTGAGATGCTCAGTGTAGAGTGGACTAGTATGACAAGGTGATTGGGGTGGAAAGGAGCTTGAAAATTCCCAGAAATTTCCACAGTTTTACGCCATTTTGAGAATTTTCATGCATTGCAGTATGTGCAATATGCAGAGTTTTCTTATTGGTCCCGACACCGTATTGGCAAACATTTGTTTTTTCCTTCAATTGATGATATATATTCGTGGAATATATTTCATATATCACAAATTGATTTGCTTCAATTCGCATATTTTCATTATGATTCCTTTCCTAGTGTGGAGAAGGCTGCTTTTGGTACTCCTCAAAAAGCTGGGCAAAAACGCAAGCGTTCGAGTACAGCTGGTAAGACTAATGCTAAGAAGGCTCGCGAAGGGTTGGAAGAGAAAAAAGTAAGGCGAATATGTTCCCCTAGAGTTTTAATTCCAAAATGTCGTATGGATTCACCAGCGATCAGTTTTGAGTGACATCTAGTTGAATTCTATGAGGTTTTCTGGACACCATCGTCGAGCAATTTCCAGGCCGATGAGAAAGCGCGATAATTTTTTCACGAAAAATTAGTTGTTTCATGCAGGAATATTGGAGTTTCATCCGTTTTATGTGAAGTGGCGTAAAACTTGGTGAAAAACGCGATATTCGCGGCCTGTAGTATTCGCGAAATATGTTTTTCATATCACTAGGGTGAAACTTCATTATCGTTGAGATTAGTTTACAGTTTTTTTGGTATACGTAACTGATAGAACAGATTGATCAGGAGTAGTTTCGGTTGCGCAGCTGAAAAAAACTTATGTAATTTTTTAGATGGACTCATTTTTTGTTTCTCTTCAGAATGATGATACTTCCTCGGAAGATTCGTCCTCCGATAGTTCAAGTTCATCATCATCCTCCTCCTCATCATCATCGAGCTCGAGCGAAGACGGAGAGTCGGAAGAAAACTCTGCTGAGGAAGGGCATGAAGAAACTGGCCATGTGAGGAGGTTTTTTACGGCATCTATAAAGATTTGAAAATGATTCCCTACGTCGAAGATTGCCGATATGGTTATCGATGGTCGAATATTAGAAGTCCAATTATCATCTTTGTTAACACATATATAGCGGAGGCACGATCACGCAATTTGCCATTGTTACACAGACGTACAAATACAGACGAATTGATAGTTGTCAGATTACACAGTACGATGGAACCTTGTACCGAACCGTTTACCATCGAAATTGTGTCATCTTCTCTCCAATGCTCCTCATTTTTAGGAATGCGCTGTTTTTGAGTCGTTTCACCAAATTTTTGTATCACCGTTTTGAGCGCAGAGAAGGGTTGTTCGTCGCTATGCGATCGTTTGCTGTGGGAAGTGTTCGCATTGTATGATCATCCAAATCGGCGTTCTCTATGGGGATTAGTGTGGTGGATTTTTGATATATCTGAAAATATATTTTTTGTAACATATGTGATATTTCTCTCCCGCAAAATGCTGAAGTTTTGGGAATACTTCTCATCGTTTCATTCGATCCTTAGACAGACGAGCCCAAAAAAGAGGATGTCAAAGAAAGTGAGGAGGAAACGCAGATAAACGCTGAGAAAGAGTCACCCGAAAAGTGGGTGAATTTCTCCGTTTGTTGTTCATTTTTAATCGCTCAGACTTGCTACTGATAATAGAGAGGCTGATGATGACGTTGACATTTACGAGGGTATCAGTCAGGAGGCTGGAAACTGAGCCGTGGAATCATTATGGCGTTCATTTGATTTGATGTATTGTAAAGCGTTTCAAGTATCCCTGTTTGCAAGTAGCAAGAGCTCTCCTATGAATTTGAATATCATCACAGAAGTGGTTTTGGGTAAGTGTGTAAATGTTGGATGGAGGGTTCGAACCTGGGTGCTTCGGATGGCAAACGGCGAGTTACACTTGACCACATCGGAGCTCAAGCATATCAACCATGTGATAGCTGCAGAGCTGGAACTAGGAGAAAGTACAAATTGCGAGTCTGTGACTCTGAACTATCCAAGGATATGAGTTCTGAGCACATAACTCGTCTTAAACTCCGTCTCCTATTATCTCCGCACGAGCCACAGATTTTCTTGCTGCAGCCACAAACTTCTCCCGTGGCCACTTTCTGTCTCCTTGGGCCACATTTCACGCTGGATGACAGTTCGGGTTTCGGATTGTCCTGTCGGGTTTCGGGTGGGTTTCGGGTTCTCTTTCCCCGTTCTCATCCGCGGTGCTTTTTTGGGGGACTCCTCTGTGAGATCTTTGTGCCCTCCGAGGTCCATTTGTGGTTGCAATAGAGAATTTGGGGTCTGTACTAAGTTTTTCTTCTCCATGTTGATGATGAACCACCCGGTTCCGTGAACCCATAACACAAAGCCAAGTTGCATCCGCCAACAGAAACGCAAATATCACCTCTTGTGAATGGTTAGTTCACCGCATATAGATGGTACCCATCATGGTCTCGAAGAGATAAGTAGATGCTTTCCACTTGTGATGACAACGAAACCGTGCAAGTGAGAAATTAGTGGCGCGCGAAAAGTAGACGACCAAAACCCAAGGACTGGCCGACATATGTGATTGAATTGTATACAAAGTGAGACAACATGAGTAGGCTCTGTTGGGCTGAGGCTGTTGATGACTCCGGCCCGTATAAAGCCCGATAAGGTTGATATCTGTAGAGATGTTCGACCGCATTATGGTGAAACCGTGGGATACCGTATGACTGGTGGAGAATGAAATGATTATGTTTGACCAGCAACTGAATTTCGGAGTCACTTGAATGCCAATCATTGAAGAAGTTGACGGTCGTGTTGATTCCGACGATACATCTGACGACGATGAGATGCCCACCTTGGAGGCTACGGATGAGGACTACACCCAGGCGGCTCAAGACCAGCACGCCGCTCCGAGAGGCAAACTAAACCGAGCTGAGAAGGAAACTCGAAGGGTCATTCAGAAGCTCGAATCGAAACCAGTGCCTGGTATTATCAGAGTTACAGTCCGTAAAGGGAAGGAGGTAAGTCCTTCCTTATGTTGCTACGTAGTGGTATTCACTTGTTCGTTCAGATGCTGTTCGTGATCTCCCAGCCGGACGTGTTGAAAGCGGCCGGTGGTGATACTTATGTTGTCTTTGGCGAAGCGAGAGTTGAAGACATGTCAGCTATGTCGCAGGTGGGAGAGTGCCTTATTTAGATCTGGTGTGTATCTTACCATTTAGACATGTATTGCATCTTACCATTTAAACATGTTTTGTATCTTACCCTTCAGGCCCCTGCAGCGTCCCAGTTCACCGGCATGATGCCGGAAGTATCCAAAGTTGACGCCAACCCGCACCCTCTGGTCCCCGGCCCGGTGGTTGAGGACGATATGGACGAAAGTGATGTCGATGAGAGCGGCGTAGAAGCGAAGGACGTCGAGTTGGTGATGGGTCAAGTTAACTGCTCGAGGTCGAAGGCGGTGAAGGCTCTGAAGGCTGCTAACAACGACATAGTCGAAGCCATCATGCAACTGTCGCCGTCGCGTGTCGCCGTGGTGTATGTGTGACAAGGAGCTTCTATCTTCATTTGGTTGTGTTGAGTGAAGAGCACGTAGAGATGATGAGACTGGGATAGACAGAAATTGTGCAGTAAGCTAACTCCGATACGTGTCTCCAGGAATAATTCCGTAACCGAATCGCAATCACAGGAACAGTGTTCAATTTTGGGTCACACATAACAAGGACAAAGAGAAAATCTCAAGCAAGGAGCCAGCAACCATATTACTAAGTTGATCTAGTTAATCAACAAAAGCCTTTGCATAGGGTACATCGAGACGAGCTAAGGATGTGCTCAGGTAGACATCGCTGATGTGGGCATCTTGCGCTGAGCTGAGTTTGGCTGCGCACTCCTCTGAAGAGATTATCTTTGTTATCATCATCAGACTGTTATCAGTTTGCTATCTTTCATCATAAACTACTACCCATAATGGTGTGCCAACTTGGTATTAACGGTTTCGGTCGTATCGGCCGTCTTGTTTTCCGTGCTGCTATGGAGAACCCCGAAGTGAAGGTCGTTGCTGTGAATGATCCCTTCATGAACATCCCCTATATGAAGTATCTCCTCAAGTATGATTCCGTACACGGTCAGTTCAACGGTACCATCGAGGTCGCTGAAAACGCCCTCATTGTGAACGGTCAGACCATTCAGGTCTTCGCCGAGAGGAACCCCTGCGATATCCCGTGGGGTAAGGCTGGTGCTGAATACGTTTGCGAATCTACTGGTGTCTTCACTACCGGTGAGAAGGCCTCTGGTCATCTCCAAGGAGGCGCTAAGAAGGTCGTCATATCCGCTCCTCCTAAGGATAATACCCCGATGTTTGTGATGGGTGTTAACAACGAGAAGTACACTTCTGATCTCAAGATTGTCTCTAACGCCTCTTGCACTACCAACTGTTTGGCCCCTCTTGCTAAGATTATGAACGATAACTTTGGCATCGTCGAGGGTCTCATGTCAACCATTCATTCCACTACTTCCACTCAGTTGACTGTTGATGGTCCCGCTAAGGGTGGTAAGGATTGGAGAGGAGGTCGTTGCGCCGAAGCCAACATCATCCCTGCCTCTACCGGTGCCGCTAAGGCCGTCGGTAAGGTTATTCCATGCCTCAACGGTAAGTTGACTGGTATGGCCTTCCGTGTTCCCACTCCTGATGTGTCTGTTGTCGATCTTACCTGCCGTCTCGAGAAGGCCGCCACCTATGACGATATCATTGCTGCAGTTAAGGAGGCCTCCGAGGGCGATATGAAGGGTGTCATGGGTATCACTTATGATGATGTTGTCTCCACTGATATGATCCATGACAAGCGCTCATCCATCTTCGATGTTAAAGCCGGTATCGCTCTTGACGACCACTTTGTTAAGCTTGTTTCGTGGTACGATAACGAGTGGGGATATTCCAACCGCCTCGTTGATCTCGCCGTTTACATGAACAAGGTCGATTCTCAGTAAGTTGACTCACAGCAATTCATTCACCATTTACTGCTTTTCTCATCTAAAGGGACATCGGGTCCCTCCACAAACCCTCAGGGTTGATGGCTTTTCATTATTCATTTCGTGTTGTGTACATGACAATTGTGAGAGATATAGTTGCATTTATAAATTGTTAGGACGGGAAACTGGTGTGAGAAATCGCAATGTATTTGTCGAAATTGACAAGACAGACTGCATTGCGGTCTCGGGTGAGATGTTGGCTCTCATTTAGAGGTAACTCTGGCTTCTCACCTGCAGTTGCTCTCTCAGTTGATGAAAGAGAGTATGAGAACATCGATCGGGTGGTTTGGCATTTTATATGTCTGGATCTGCCGTACTTGTCGATAGCGATGAGGGATCTCCATGATAGTATCCAACCTACAACTATAGATCTCACCCTTAACTTTCCGATATATTTGTTTGATGCTCACGAATCTGCTGTTGCACTCAAAACTGATACATTTACATGATTCCAATCGCACCAATCGAACGCAAGATTCGATTGAAACTTCCTCAGTGCATCGTGTTACGAACCGGTGTCTTCCAGACAATTTCCAATTTCCACATGCGCCTTATTTTGGATTTATCAAAGCCTCACTCGCACATCCTAATGCTCTTATCATCTGTCACTTGATAGAGGTGCTCGCCTAAAGGGATGGGAGTTAGGACATACAGGATATCTCTCAAACCTGAACACAAGTCCCAGCGTTGGTATCTTGTGTTGAGCTGAGTTTGGCTGCGCACTTCTCTGAAGAGATTATCTTTACCATCATTATCAAACTGTTACCAGTTTGGTATCTTTCATCATAAACTACTACCCATAATGGTGTGCCAACTTGGTATTAACGGTTTCGGTCGTATCGGCCGTCTTGTTTTCCGTGCTGCTATGGAGAACCCCGAAGTGAAGGTCGTTGCTGTGAATGATCCCTTCATGAACATCCCCTATATGAAGTATCTCCTCAAGTATGATTCCGTACACGGTCAGTTCAACGGTACCATCGAGGTCGCTGAAAACGCCCTCATTGTGAACGGTCAGACCATTCAGGTCTTCGCCGAGAGGAACCCCTGCGATATCCCGTGGGGTAAGGCTGGTGCTGAATACGTTTGCGAATCTACTGGTGTCTTCACTTCTGGTGAGAAGGCCTCTGGTCATCTCCAAGGAGGCGCTAAGAAGGTCGTCATATCCGCTCCTCCTAAGGATAATACCCCGATGTTTGTGATGGGTGTTAACAACAAGGAGTACACTTCTGATCTCAAGATTGTCTCCAACGCCTCTTCCACTACACATTGTCTGGCCCCTCTTGTTAAGATTATGAACGATAAGTTCGGCATCGTCGAGGGCCTCATGTCAACCATTCACTCGACTACTTATATTCAGCTGACCGTCGATGGTCCCGCTAGGGGCGGTAAGGGTTGGAGAGTGGGCCGTTGCACTGAACCCAACATCATCCCATCCCCTACTGGTGCCTCCTGGGCCCTCGGTAAGGTTATTCCATGCCTTAACGGTAAGTTGACTGGTATGGCCTTCCGTGTTCCCACTCCTGATGTGTCTGTTGTCGATCTTACCTGCCGTCTCGAGAAGGCCGCCACCTATGACGATATCATTGCTGCAGTTAAGGAGGCCTCCGAGGGCGATATGAAGGGTGTCATGGGTATCACTTATGATGATGTTGTCTCCACTGATATGATCCATGACAAGCGCTCATCCATCTTCGATGTTAAGGCCGGTATCGCTCTTGACGACCACTTCGTTAAGCTTGTCTCATGGAATGATAACGAGTGGGGATATTCTAATCGCCTTATTGACCTCGTCGTGTATATGAATAAGGTCGATTCTCAGTAAGTTGATGCACAATTCATTCGCGCTGTGCTGATTTTCTCATTTGAAGGGCCTTCGGGTCTCCCTACGAACCTTCTGGGTTGATGATCTTTCACCTCATTATCCATTTGGGTTGTGCGCAGTATCAAGAAGTAGAAGGGTTCCGAGATTCACAAGAATACTCAACTTGAATCGCCTTTAAGTTTTGGATCAACTTGAGAAGGTTCTCAAGTGTACACAGTTCGTGTTGTTTGAAATAACCGCCACACCATTCCATCCTCGTTCTCTCGAGTACGATAAAGAAACAAGCCGTCCTCCGTCAAGAATACCGAGCTATTCTTACAGTATGTAAAATTCTGATATTCCTGTGTACCAGTCAACAACCCAGCGCGGTCGGTTTCTTGATTAGACCCAACTATGTTACGTTTTAAACAGTCCGAAAAACGAACGGAGAGACTCATCATCTAACCCACACACACGAAACGAATAATGAAAAGCCATCAACCCTGAGGGTTTGTGGAGGGACCCGATGTCCCTTTAGATAAGAAAAGCAGTAAATGGTGAATGAATTGCTGTGAGTCAACTAACTACTGAGAATCGACCTTGTTCATGTAAACGGCGAGATCAACGAGGCGGTTGGAATATCCCCACTCGTTATCGTACCACGAGACAAGCTTAACAAAGTGGTCGTCAAGAGCGATACCGGCTTTAACATCGAAGATGGATGAGCGCTTGTCATGGATCATATCAGTGGAGACAACATCATCATAAGTGATACCCATGACACCCTTCATATCGCCCTCGGAGGCCTCCTTAACTGCAGCAATGATATCGTCATAGGTAGCGGCCTTCTCGAGACGGCAGGTAAGATCGACAACAGACACATCAGGAGTGGGAACACGGAAGGCCATACCAGTCAACTTACCGTTAAGGCATGGAATAACCTTACCGACGGCCTTAGCAGCACCGGTAGAGGCAGGGATGATGTTGGCTTCGGCGCAACGACCTCCTCTCCAATCCTTACCACCCTTAGCGGGACCATCAACGGTCAACTGAGTGGAAGTAGTGGAATGAATGGTTGACATGAGACCCTCGACGATGCCAAAGTTATCGTTCATAATCTTAGCAAGAGGGGCCAAACAGTTGGTAGTGCAAGAGGCGTTGGAGACAATCTTGAGATCAGAAGTGTACTTCTTGTTGTTAACACCCATCACAAACATCGGGGTATTATCCTTAGGAGGAGCGGATATGACGACCTTCTTAGCGCCTCCTTGGAGATGACCAGAGGCCTTCTCACCAGTAGTGAAGACACCAGTTGATTCGCAAACGTATTCAGCACCAGCCTTACCCCACGGGATATCGCAGGGGTTCCTCTCGGCGAAGACCTGAATGGTCTGACCGTTCACAATGAGGGCGTTTTCAGCGACCTCGATGGTACCGTTGAACTGACCGTGTACGGAATCATACTTGAGGAGATACTTCATATAGGGGATGTTCATGAAGGGATCATTCACAGCAACGACCTTCACTTCGGGGTTCTCCATAGCAGCACGGAAAACAAGACGGCCGATACGACCGAAACCGTTAATACCAAGTTGGCACACCATTATGGGTAGTAGTTTATGATGAAAGATAGCAAACTGATAACAGTTTGATGATGATAATAAAGATAACCTTTTCAGAGAAGTGCGCAGCCAAACTCAGCTCAGCGCAAGATACCAACGCTGGGACTTGTGTTCCGGCTTAAGAGAGGTTCAGTGTGTTCGAAAATTATACCATCTCACACGAACATACCAATCGGTATTTGTTTTCCTAATGGTCAAGAGCTTACAAGAGTTATAGATCCATTTACCCATCGCGACCTTCGACAAGCGGACGAGAAGCTAACTCGATAATGGCTCTGATAAGCACTGTCCTTTGCATTGCATTGATAGGATTCAGCTCCCATCAAGGATTCTACCGAGCTTCGTAAGTCATATTGCTGCCATGTCACTCAGTACAGGTAAACACGTCGCTCATTATCGCGAGATTGAATATCGAAATGAATCTTTCAGAGGACATCCCTTTGTAGGAACTTATGTTCACCCTCCTCGGTGAGTTCAGACGTTTTCGAACTAATCATAAGAGCTCACCTACGAATTCGCCCAGAAGTGTACAGAGCACAAAAAGAATTTTAGATATGGTCACCAACACATGAAGTTGACTATGTGCATATTTTCGCGCACTGCTAGACTACGGAACCCAACGCGGATAAGAAACTACTCAAATGGTTACCTTTGATGATAATGACGATGACAAGGATAAAATTAGTATGAGCATCATTATCGGACGCATGAACGACTACTTGAACTCTAACAGCATGTTGTTATCAGGTGGAAGGCCAACACACGCCTTCAATACATTCTCCAGCATAGCACGCTGTTTCGCCAGCGAATTAATGCATGGGGTCCCATCAGGAACCAATGGGGCTTTCGTCAAGTAGCTCAGAATCACGCCGAAAGGATGCATACCACGTAGCTCTTTTCCGTCCTTGGCCAACTTGATACGAGTAACCAACTCAGCCAAGAGGACCAAGTCGATGATCAGTGGAGCCGCGAGGAGAGAGTCTTCACAGGTATTGTGCATAACAATGGTGTTGAGACCATTCATGAAAATCTGCGAAGTGTACTCGTCCATAGCACGCTTAGAGTCACCAACCGCCGGCACGTACTTGATAACCACACAGTGGTCCGGATGCTCACCCTTTCTGTACAGTAGGGCGTTGCTGCTCACCATGTCATTCACAACATCAGACTTGGAAATCTCTTTCGAGCGGAAACATTGAGGAGCCGACAAATTCTTGCCGTCGTTGTTGCCAAGATGGTTGTAACTAACAATTGAGGTGGGCTTGAGTCCTGCACCGATCAGAAAGTCGACCAGAACTGACTTCATCTTAGTTTGACCAGATTTGAAATCATCACCAGCGATCACAGCGCCAGGAATGCTCTCAGCTAGCTCCTTCAGACCGGGCACGTACGTGTTCTGCGGAGAGCCGTTCACGAAAGGAACGCCCTCTTCCAGGCAGGCGATGCAGTACAAAGTACTTGGTGCAATTTCGGACTCATTCCTAGCCACCGAGTCCATGAGCTCAGCCTTGGTCGTGTTGACACCCGGGATGATTTCAGCATAGCGCTCCGTATTTGCGGTCCACAAAACGACGATCTTGTCGCAACCATTGGTCTCCTTGAACTCACGGATATCCTGCTTAACACGGTCAACCTGTTCGCGTTTAGTCATCGTCTTGGGCAACACGTTATCAGCACGATCCTCTTGGTTAGCCGCGATGAAAGCTGGATCATAAATCCCAGGTAGAGGAACCATATCCTTCATCATAGGCTTCAGCTTGTTTTGCAAGTCACTTGGCAGAACCTTAGCCCGCTTCATTGCAGCGTACATATTGAAACCGCTAATATCCCAACCACCAAGAACAACATCATTAGGATCTACCATAGGAACCAGTTTGTTCATAGGGGTGTAAACTTCCTTCCCGTTCACGTTGCCAAGACGAACGACAGAAGCTTGAGTGACCGAGCCGTAGTAGTTGGGATGCTGAAGACCCTCTTTGGTTTCCCACGTCACACCATGCTTGTTGGCGAGGATACCAGCAGTAACAGTAGTGCCGTTGTTGCCACCCCAACCGACTAGCATAACGCCGAGCTTGGGTACTCGTCTGTCGGTCTTGAAGTTGTACTTGATAGTCTTTGGAGTGACCACCCATTGGCCATCACGAGGCTGTGAGAGGTCAGTAGTGTGGTAGTCGTAGGAGGCCTCAATGTGGGTGTCAGTGTAGACTACATTAAGCGAGTTAACAGTGAAGGAGGGGCAATGGATTGCCATTGGTAGCGAGTTTCCTAATATGAGAAAACTAACCGTGACCATCGGGAAAATCACTCTTTCGAACACAGAAAAACGACTTTCATATTGGAGACAACACAATCGCGACCCCGACATATACCCAGAAGTCCAGACACGAACTAAGGCTCACAATGAACACGTTAGAATACGTATGAACGAGTGGATCTTTGACTTCACAACGAATGAACGAGTGAAGTAAATTGCGCGACCCACAAAGCTCAATTTTCTGTCCCGTCATGCTCAGTATATGCCAAGAGTTCCGAAGATGGCAAGTTTCGGCGAGCGAGATTGACAGGATACTCCGGGGTCCGGAGCAAAATTGCAACACCCAGATAATCGATTGCATTTGGAACCCATTCCAATGGAATGATTCCATTTGTTGTCTCGTTTGCACAAATCTATTCAAAGTCAGATCGTGCTTAATTGCTCAACAGCGGTAGGTATTGGCGCAACACCCTCCGCTGTTGAGATGCGAGTTGGGCGAGCTCAGCGAAGAGCGTGGTCCATCCCAGATCCAGTACCCACCACAAGATGGAGTGAGCGGTGAGCGATCACTCTCTTTGCCAGATCGGTGTGGTTAACTGCCTGACCCTCAAGTCACCTTATGATGATCGGGGACGCTCTCGGTAATAGCGAATCGGACTTGTGGAAAGTCTAGTGGAAGTATGACCTGTGAATCACAGGCGGTGATTGGTCCTTGAGAAGTGATACACCGCTGCCAACTATCGGAGGCCCAATGCCCAGAAAACTGAATGTCGCGAACGAAATCGAAAACCCACTGACGATGGCAGTCACTATTAGCAATTCGCTGCCGCTAACGACGGTCCGTTCAGGGCTACGTCGAAAGGCGGTGATGGAGCCGAGTCGGCTCAGCCGACTGTCTCATTCGAAGAGCGCAGGGCGACGAAACTTGTAAAACTGTTGAACCAGTGCAAACTGTTATCCAAATGCGAGCTGTTACCCAAATTTCCCTTCGGTCTCTATAGATAGAATAACTCTCGCCTTCATGGATGTTCTATCGGCGGCGATGAGTAGGTTAACCTAGTCCGCGAGAGGTCTCGGGTTCGATTATCGGTCCGAGCAAAGTTGTATGCACTGCATACTATGCAGTTGAGACTGGCTAACAATTTGTCAGTGAAGGTTGTTGTATGGCTAACATGATTAACATGGACGGCCAGATGGGGGAGACGGCCGTACTCTGGCATCACGACAGACCCATCAAGGCCTGTAGAAGGTCACCAAGTGATTGATCGAAGATTTGGGTATCGCACGAAGCGACTTCATCGTAATCAGCCATTTCCAAGACTATATGGGTTGCTTGTGACCGTGGTGACAGCAGACTTGTTTTTTCAAAACATTGACTAACGTGAAGGTCTGTCGATAGATAATATGGTCGTGAGGACTATGTGACCAGTAGGCCAGTGTAGACATGTGCATAGCGATCGGATACGGTATACAAGGATCAGATGAGCGTAGCGTGTCTCATCATGCCCTCGTATTCCCCCTGTACACACATTTTACTTTTTCTATTCGTCCTTATGCTGATATTATTATGGCACCTAGACAATTGTACATTTTGGTGAGAGCCTCCCCGTGTTCGTTATGTCTGGCATAGGGAAGTCTGGACAAGGTCAAGTACATGTGTTGTTGACAACGGAAAAATTCTGAGAGAATTCTTTGGGAAATTATTGTTGCTGTTCGCATAATTCTACCAAAAAACTTGTGTGAATTTTCCACAATGTAGTAATGGAGCTTCCGAAGTGAGCGGAAGTGAACATACATGCCGACATTTCTAGCTTTACTTTATAGTTCACCAGTCACTATATCTGTCGAATACCGTCAGACATTGTCCCTATGACGGTTTTCCAATATCCTTCAACTCGAAGGCTTTGAGTTAACGAAACACCGTCTGATCTCACATAGAAAAGAAGATCAATAACAGCTCAGAAGATCTATGGAAGTTCAATAGTAGTAGACCAGCATATTAGCTTGATACATAGCTGCATCACAATTATAAGACAACTATGGAGGACAATCTTTTGCGTCTTCAAGTCACTCCAACATTCTCATTCCTCATTATCGATATCCGCTGAGTCCAGCACATTCCGACCGATACAGTGTCGGTTGACTCTGTTGCTGCAGCTTTGTCACCGTACCAACCCCAGTACAATAAGATACTTGATGCGTCGAAGGCTGAGGGCTTCTAGCATCATCTTACTGACGGCAACGCCTCTACTGTGCCTCCTTGACATTGTGATCTTCCTCGTGTTGTTGTCGTTGTTGTCGTTGTCGTTGTCGTTGTTGTCGTTATTGTCGGTATTGTCGTTGTTGTTGTTGTTGCTGTTGTTGTTGTTGTTGTTGGTGTTGTCGTTATTGTTGTTGTCGTTGTTGTTGTTATTGTTGCTGTTGTTGTTGCTGTTGCTCTTGTTGTTGCTGTTGCTCTTGTTGTCGTTATTGTTGTTGTCGTTGCTGTTGTTATTGTTGCTGTTGTTGTTGCTGTTGCTCTTGTTGTTGCTGTTGCTCTTGTTGTCGTTATTGTTGATGTCGTTGTTGTTGTTGTTATTGAGGGCTATTCCATTCATGATGAGCTATCAGTTTTGACTCTCGTGTTTTGCTGTCAATTTAACGGCGATTTATCCCGATGCAACACAGGTTGAGATTTGTTCCTCAACGGCGCTCTAACAGTCCTTTCCACCGAATCATCTAAAGAAGTCACCCTCCCATGTATTCCGCTGAGTACGCGCGTTCCGTCATAGTCGTCGAAGCACTTGCAAGGAGTGTTTTATCACTGATACCAGTAGACTGTGTGTCTGACATTTGGACTTTCGCCAAGCCTTGCTTGACGGGTTTCACCGAGCCAGAGAAAGTAGCCATAGGCGTACAGGCATCCCCGTATTACAAGCGTCGTGATGGTTCTGGTCTGTTATTACTACGACGATGGAAACGCTATCAATGTGGTATTCTTGAAGTGCGACAATCTGGCGAGACCATAAGACACCACAACTTGAACGTTGGGTTTCTACTGTGTCTGGCAATTGATGTACCTGCTGGTGGCCTTGTTTGTGTTGAGCAAAATACGGGCCGCTCATGCCGATTCACGGACTGGGAGTGCGACAATATCGCTACTACTACGGCTGAGCGGCAGCCGTCTCGTGTTTCATGGCAAAATCTCCTCGGGTATTTGAGCCGATCGATTTTTTGCTCTCGTGAAAACTGTTTTTATGGTTTTTCGTGGCGAAGTGCTTCGATTATTCGTATCCATTCTGATGGAACTATAAGCACCTTCCTCGAGTGTGAGCATAATCAGACTCAGTGTTTGTGCGTGTACGAGCACGAAGAGCACGAACCACAAATTCTGCTCCTTCATCGAACGCCGAACGAGCTCAGTAGTTCGGTTTTGTTGGCGTTTTCACTTGACGGGCAGTCGCTCGGTGAGGTAAGCAAAGTAGATCTCATCAATTGCGATATGGATGTTGATAATGAGCAAGCTCTGTGTTTTGTGATCGGCTACTATGACGGGCCTGATACGCTTACAGTCGCTATTATTGATATTCATCGCAAATCTACTTGCACGCAAGTGTCCTTGCCCGAAGTCTCTCTATCACGAACATTCGTTAGAAGCGATGGGGGCCTCTGGGTAATCACTGAGGACAGGTGTGTCGAATCGTTGGACCCAATATTTGTTTGATCAACCTGTGAGTCTTCCCAGAAGACTCTAGAAAGGATTTCTGACACTTTTGCCGTATTGTTGGGATATTGGTCGAAGACATTGCCTCGAAGAATTAGATTTTGTGCTATTTTCTGATTCTCTGTCTCTCATATCGCACAGTGGGTGGCTATTGTATGCTCCCACAAACATGTCGTCATCTAATCTCTTCGTAGTTCTCAGTATACGTGTATAGACACTTGCAAGGATATAAGTAGTTTTGTATTTTCTTATGTTTGCAGCTTGTTGCGCTGAGTATCGTACTAAGATCAAAAGAGAAAACTATGACTATCTAACTTAAGTAAAATCGTTACCAAATCATTTCTATCAAGTTGGGCTAGAGTAACCCAAGTTCATTAGGAAGCGTATCTTTTTCTTAGCCGAATTCGGAAGATCAAAGTTTCTCGTCAAGTACTCGGGTTCTTCAACTGTCACTTTGAAAGGGTATGAAGTGACCAGAAAATCTACGACGTTGAGCTTGCTTCAAACAGAACCACTTGAGTAGATATGCATTTCGAGAGAACCCATTCAGAGATGTACCAGAAATAGCCATGAAATAGATGCTGAATTTTTCACTCGTGTAGTTGGCTCATGAACAGAGTGTCTCCCGCATTTCACGGCAAGAGGCAGCGATCAGCACTGATTATCCAGGCACTCGTTACGCGCTATGGAGGATTCTTGCCGACTGATTGCCTCGTGGACACTTGGGATTTACTGTTGCCTCGACTGGAGGCTTTTACCGCCCCTAGAATCGTCGCGACCGACATTCTCCCCTCATCCTGTTGCCGACTAGCAGATGGTTCTGGTCTGCTCATATTGCGAGACAGTAGCCTCTATGAATGTGTCGTCCTCGAACTCACCTCAAACAACAATCTTAATGAACACAAAGCCCTCAATGTGGGTACTCTGCTCTGTCTGGCATGTGATAGCAAAAATCGACAACTAATCGGCATCGAACAAAACACTGGACGCATGTGCCGGTTCTCGAACTGGACACGCGACGAGCCACGGAGCGGGCTGTTGCTGCCCTCATGGACTTCTGGAAGGACCACTGCTGATTGTCTCTTCAAACCCGTCTTCTCTTCTCATGATGGTTGTTTCTATGGCCTCTCATGGCAAGGTGAATCCGTGATTCGTATCGATCAAGATGGATCAACGAGCACTGTTATTGACTGCAGTCAGCGTCCAGCAGAAGGACTGTGTGTGTACGAAAGCGAAGAGAGGTCTCAAATCCTCCTACTCCAGCGAGACACGAATGACTCTGTTGTAAGCGCCATTTCTAACCCCAGGAACGTCCTAAGCGAAGTTGTCAAGTTGGATGTATATGGTCGTGACCTTGACGTTGATAATGAGAGAGATCAGTGCTTCATAATTGGCTATCACCGCGGATCGAAGACGCTTACTGTGTCCATCATAGACCTCCGTCAGAATATTGTTTCTATTCGTGTGCCACTTCCATGTATTAATTTCTGCCGATTTTTTGTTAGTAAGAAGGGCTGCTTATGGTTCGTGAGGAAAAACCATTCTGTTGTATGTCTTGATCCTGTATTCGCATGATTTGCTCTCTATAGTGATATTTGGCCAGTACATGCATCATGATAGGACTTCTAAGAATTGACAACTTTTGTTGTACGAGATGAATTCGTACTTACTCGTTCAACGACAAAGTCCGAATGGACGGATCTCTATAAGTTATTTCATATGCGTCTCTTGAAGTGGCGATCAGCTACTCCCATTCTCATCGGCGTCGTTTCGTTCACATATGTGATTGTCTTTTTCCTCATACTAATCAACTTTCCCGATTCACCCAATGAACAGCATGAGCATCATCTAAGAGGTCCTTTCAAAAGTAGTTCAATAAGAAATCTCAACAGCGTTTTCATAGCCACTGACGACACTGTAAAGGTGAGCGCCAGTCCGACAACTCTGAGTACTCACGAGAAAGTAACGACGACCAAGTCTTCCCAGTCCGCAGTCGTGACGAGCGAACCAACACTTAGTGACAGCTCCTGTGGGTGGCGTTGCAACGCTCATGTATTTTATTACATGTGGTATCGCAACAAGGATAGGGATGGGAACTGGTCTCATTGGAATCATCAGCGGTTGTCTCATTGGGACCAAGAAATTGCCAAAAAGTGAGACACGGAATAGTCAGAAACCATAGTAAACCGTTTCCTACTCAGCGTTGGGGAAACATCCATGTGGTCAACTACGCGTGTCCAGGTCTTCATGAAAATTTTGGGAGATTCCTGTTAGTCTCTGTAAAGCATTCTTCTTAGTCGGGCGCGAATTTCCATAGTGTCTTGGGGAAGCTCCTAAACTGAGCTAAGAACGTCGATCAAACGTATACTGTACGACAAGAAAAGTCTCATCGTAGATACGCTCAAGACGAGCATATCCCCGAGAATGAGGACATAGGGTCATCGTATTGGCCTCAGCTTGGACCCTACTCCTCGCTGGACCCTCAAACCATCGCCACTCATATGGACATGATGAAGAGGGCTGGCTTGGGTGTAGCTGTTGTGAGCTGGTACCACACTCCTGCGAAATCCTAGTACCAAACCGAACTCGAGGTATCCCCCTGGTCTCCACGACCCAGCACTTGACGATCAAAACCAAACCGTCGACATATTGCGAGCATTACTACTCGATATCGCGTGGGCTCACGGCATGAGAGTTGCTATTCACTTGGAGCCATACGAAGGTGTGATACACTGACGGCTCCGTATGACGTGTTGGTAACAATATGAAAATTAGGAGGAAATTTTGGAAAATTCTTGGAGGTTTTTGTACACTTCTACCCGAATTCGTATGTGGACTTCTATGATTAGTGAGGAAACTCTCAAGCTCAGCTAAGGAAAGCGAACATATGCTCCAACCCTGGGTTCAACTACATATGTTGGTGACAATGTGAAATTTTTGTTGGTGTCTGTACGCTTCTACCTGAATTCGTATATGAACTCCTACAATTAGTGAGGAAATTCCTGGGCTCAGCTGAGGAAAGGCGAGCGTATATCTCGACACTGCAAGTGTAGGCCGTACCCCTTCTACGGTACGTAAAGACTTTGAATACATTCACACACACTACGGGAAGCACCCAGCGCTCCACAGAGTCGCCAATGTTCGTGACGGAACGCTTCTTCCTCTCGTGTGAGTTGCAATAGCCGATATAATGATTGTTGAGTTCTAGCCTAGATACATCTACGATAGCTACCACAATTCTCCAGAAGAATGGGCTAGGTTGTTGACCCCGAGTGGGGACCTCTCGGTCCGCGGTAAAACCGGTTTGGACTGCACAGCGATCTTCCTATGGGTCGAGGCGGCCCACTCGACTTATATCAAATCAGGATTCGGTGAGTAGAGAGGCTCACGAAGCCAGATAAACATTTACAAATTTTTCAGAGTTTTTACTTTACTGATGAGCTCATGAGTTACTGTTGCGATATTGTGTTATGCATGAACTCTCTCGCAGATGGGTTCTATACCTATTTCGCAGCTGCTGGTTTCGTGTACGGCAGTACTCCGTCCAACTGGCACTACATGGGCCGAGTCGCGCAAGAGGCTGGCATTTACTTTATACCGAGCGTGAGCATACTCCCTTCATTTTGGCGTGGCGAAATCTAGTGATTTAGTTATATACCACTCTCTAGGGAAATCAATGGCTCAGGTAGGGCCAGGGTATATTGACGTAGAGGTGCGGCCTTGGAACTTCGCCAACACTCGCGATCGTCGTGATGGCCGATACTTCGACCATATGTTCTCCGAGGCTGCCAGACTTCGACCGAAAATGGTATGGCGCATGTACAAAGTCGTGACCAGTGTTTTCCTCAGGCTTCTATAACGTCCTTCAACGAGTGGCACGAGGGAACCAACATAGAGCCCGCCCTGTACGGCAAGTCTACAGTGGCGTCATTGACAAGGCCTGCTAGGGGCTATTTGAACTATGGTTCTGATCCTGAGTTTTATTTGACTAAAACGAAGCAATGGGTTGAACGCATGTTCGGACCTCCTGGTCTGGTGATCCCGTGAAAAGTCAGTGTTCTATTATGAGGGAGTTGAGTTCGAACAAGTGACAACCAGTGTGGGAAAATACACCCATGGTCAACCAAATATGTTGGTGGCAATATGAAAATTCTGAGGGAATTTCTGGTTGGTTCCTAAACGTTTCAATCCCAGGTCGTATAAGAACTCCTATAATTGACGAGGGAACTCTTAGGATCAGCTGAGGAAAGCCAACATATGTTACAACAATGTAATCGACACAGTAGAGGCAGTAGCCTACAACGAGCGTTATTATGTGCCTGATAACTGCTGATCGTGCCTTGTGGCTGTTGAACTGTATATGTGGGTAGTTGGTGATATTACACCTAGCTACTGTGAATAACACGGCTAGGGGTTGGTGATTGAGTGGGTGCCATCATCAATTTTAACGGCATGGACTTTTCGAGTTGCAGAGATGATGCTTGTGGTCGACACGCTGTGGGAAAATCCAGTGTTTCGTGGTCTTACCAGGAGCGTAACCGTCCTGCCGAGAGAAAAGAAAGTATCTTAAGTTTGGCCTATTCTCTGCCTAAGCCCTAGTTTGTGTGCTCAATGAACTTGCCTGATTTCATCCCTCTTGGAGTACGATACATCGGTGCTAGTCTGACTAAGCCGGTTTTCGGCGTTGGACTTGAACTCACACACACACAACTTTCGAGAGTCGATTCTAAATACACCATTTCCCGATCTATTCCAAGAATTGCCACTTCAAATTCATATACTGCCGCTCCAATTTCTGGCCACCGACGATATTTTTCCATACCCATTTCCATATATTGTCGTTTGCGTTTCTGGTAATCGCGAAATCGACTCGGAAAAGCATGAAATTGAAATGAAAAAATGTTAAACGGGAGCGGAAAAAATTCGGTCAGCAGAAGTTGGAATATGTGGCAGTATATGAACTTAAAGTGACAATTCGTGGAATAGATCCGATCTAGTAGATCGGGCAATGGCGTAGTTTCAGAGTCCCAAAGGTGGATTATTGGAGTTTCACCCGTTTGTGGCGTATTACTCCGTGAAAAACGCGATATTCGCGGTGATATGCAGTAGTCGTGAGATATGTTTTTCACTAGTGTTTCTCATATCACTAGAGTGAAACTCCATTGAATAGTTTCCGATTAACCAACACTAATGCATCATAATTCTACAGAAAATCTGAACAGAAAATTGATTTCATTGTTGTCATTAACGGAAAGTACACATAAGCTCAGTTGCTCAATAAGCGTATTTTTCTGACCTCACGTGCTCGGACGGATACACCCCAAAGGGCCTCCGAATCCGCAGTGTAGATACGCGTAATCGGTGTACAAGCAGTGGGAAGAGACAACCGGGAAATAATTGTGCATGCGTGCAAATCGAAAATGAATAGTATCGGAATCATACACTCTGAGCGACCAGTAATGAAGGCCCGAGAGGACCCTACGTCGAACCATGGATTCCAAAGGGGCTCGAAAGTGAACACCGGCTTGAACTCGATCTCGTTGACACCAACTGACTTAACTTCAACAAGCTGCTCTTGGATGCACTTGCCGTTAACCAATACTGGTCGTAATGCAAAGACAACTCCAGTGGAGTACGCACACGCAAGGCAGTGGACTAGGTGCTCTTCTTGTGAAGTGATGGACCCTCGTCTGGACCGGTTCTCCAGGGAGGTCCTTGAGACGACGAAGAGACCGGGAAGAGTTGACCTGTGTGGTTTTGACAGGCCCCAGAGGGCCCCATCAGGGGCACAGATGATATCATGCATGTAATTCGATATTCGTCTGCCCCCACGTATAGGTTGCCACAACGCTGGTCTTTGGGGAGTCGCAGTGGACCAGTGTGAACATCTGAATACACGTCCTTGTTGAGATAGGGAAATAATACTATCATCACGAGGGTCGAGGCAGGCCGAAGGGGCTCTACCAAGATCAACATCGCCTATGATACGTAGAAGCTGACCGTCACAACGACGATTGTCCCCGATCTCCCCGACACTCCAACCGTTAGAGAGTCGAACCAGAAAGAGTAGGCCGGAACCACTAGTCTTCTTGAAAACGAGCATTTCCTCGGGGTCTCGACCAGAACAGTGGAAAACCCGTTCAACCAGAGAACTGGTCAAAACCGGGCGGGCATAAGTCCACACGGAACGAAGCAGTTCCAGGGGAGCCTCTAAGCACTCGATTGAACGTAAAGTTAGTATCGTCCGATCGCTGGAAGTAGTGACTTGGGTGATCATCTAAGAAATGTCGGTGAAACTTGAGAGGATGAATCCCTTCCACTGGGCAACGCAGAACGTCAATATGGCAGAAGCAGTGTTTGCATGGTCAACTACAGGTGCTGGTGACAATATGGAAACCTTCAGGAAATTCTTGTTGATTTCTGTACACTTCCACCCGGATTAGTATTTGACTTGTTCGATGGGGAAACTCCTGAGCTCAGTAGCTGAGGAAAGCAATCAAATATTCCTACTCCAACACTGGACATTCAGAGAGCCTCATGTCAACCCAACCACCTCGTTATCGACCTCTGCCGTCCATCGCAGTGCGGGGCCTGAAGGGATAGAATACGTTATGAAAACTCCAGGCCAAAATTGGTAAAATATTCACGACTGAACGGAGACTTCGAGGGGAATTTCGGTAAGATTCTTGGGGGGGTTTTATACACTCCTAACCTAAGTCGTGTGTAAACTCCCTTGAAAGCCTACACGTATGCCAACAACACTGAATACCGACCGACCTCGTCAGCTCGCCATAGGAGTTCATCGGAATTCCATAAGTGACTTTATTCACTACTCGATCGGCTCGAGGGAGTTTTACATAATCATTCAACATAGTTTATAGTATTCTGTTCAACATCATTTTTGAGAGCTGTGAAGTTGCGAATCGATAGGTAGTTGATGAAGTAGTACTCTTCGTTTACACAGAAACGATGCTCGCCGGGTTCAGTTTCCCGTCAGATAGTAATGTAGTAGAATTATGGTACCACACTGGAACACTTTTCGATGTCTTATTCCACCGGGATTGACGATAATCTCAATTTAATGATCAATCTCTACCACTCCGTCCAACTCAATAGCATACACTCAGGATTCACATCTTCCACAATAAACATGCAAAACGCGGCAACGCAGATCACTTGTGGTTATAAAAACAACTGATAATTATGTTTTCCAACACCGACCTCTCTCACTCACGACGAGGAGTTTTCTCCTGAAAAATAACAGAAATCTAGGCACCCAAAATTCGTACTAACACACTTTTCTCATCGTTGATCCAATCCCGGTCATTCGAAGCAGTAGCAGGCGTTTGTTCTTGCGAGAACTTCCTCGCGAATATAGGGTGAAGACGTTTGCTGGGCGCAGGGATCGAACTGAAGTCACTTCCGCTGAATAGGAAAGTCCTTCTAAACTCCCCCCACCTCCCAACAGCTGTCGAGGCTTCGCTATCCGCTCGCTTAGGAATCTACATTGACGGTGGGATCACACGCACAGGAGTCGGGTGGATGATATTACCACGGCCACTTTCTCCTCAGTGACGCCTCTCCAGGAGGCATCTGAAACGTGAGGAGCATACGGGTTGAGTATTGGAGGCAAAAGTGTGGAAGGAGTGGTATGGGGTTGGTTCAACTCACCACTTTGAGCATCCCAGTTGGAGGCCGTGGAGGAATAATCAGAACCTAAGAAAAGACATACCGGAGAATTGAACCCTATACCTGATGAGTGATACAACGAAACCCCACCGCTACACCATTTAAACTAATAATCGACACCATAATAATACCTGTCCTGTTTCCCAGCAAAGCATCAGTAACTTCAGCCACCTACCACACATATCATCCCGGACACATAATGAGTATACACAATCCCACCCGTTCTGCTGAGAGCGTACTCCTCTTCCTTTCAGCGTAGCTCGAGGGTCTCCTCCCGGAGGAAGGCGCAGGGACGGCATCGCCCGAGACCATCACTGGTGGTAGTGGAGGCCTCCCCGCCGCTGAATATAAGAAATATTTCGCACTTGTAGTGATAAGTCTATTCATTTTATCATGAAATGAGTCGATTGATGTGACACTGAAATAAATTATCATGCCAGTGTTACGACGTAAAGAGAATTTTTTTCAACCCCTCTTCCTCAACTTACGTGTGACCGAAGCCCGCTCAACCTCCCGCCTCAAACTCCGACTGAGGCTGACCTAAAACGACAGTTCGATTTCCCTTTGTAGGAGGAGCTTACTCTGGTGGGCCGTCGGGCAGGAAGGCGAGAGCTTTTCCGGGCCTTACGGTCGGCACTTCTGCTGTGCCAATAGAGAACTCCAACACCGATTAATAACAGGAGAGTGAATAATATCCAACCTGAAGGGAGCTGCTGATGATGTGGCGAAAAGATGGTATGGGGTGACCTAAAAGCCCATGAGCTTGGACTGTCGTTGTGTTAGCGGTGGGAATGAGGAATGCTGATGGTGCCGCGTTGGGCAACATTGAACAGAAATGGCCTCTGCGAGAACAGATGGAGAACAAAATACTTGAGTTGATATAATCTGCATAGTACACGCCCCTTGCGGGGATATTCACATCTCGAGGAAGTGTGTGGGAGAATATGTACAGGGTCAACTACATGTGTTGGTGGCAATATGAAAATTCTGCGGAAATTTTGGGAATTTCTCATTGGTTTCTGTATTCGTCTGTAAACTCCTGCGGAGACTTTTGAGATCAGTTGAGGAAAGCAGACCTAAACTTCAACACAGTCTTGAGGCTCAAGTTGGAGACAGGAAGTTGGGGTAATCGAGAATCAAAAGCGCTCGCCTTCGCTTTGAAAATTCGATCCAGCCACTTTTGTACCAATCCATTTTTGAACCAATCCAAGTAGCGCCCGCCCCCCTTTGAAAAGCTTCCCTTCGGGAAGCGCTTCGCTCCGCGAACCACTTTCGTACCATAATCGTCCCTATTTCGGAGATTTTCTCGCAAATGTCGGGAAAAGTGGGTTAAGTACCACTCCTTCGGGAATCGACCGAACGTAGGACTGTCGCACGCTGATGTGGCGTATGTAGAGTATAAATCGCGTGGTGCTTGGACATCTGACGGGGCCCGAATATTCTTTTTATGTTCAAAAGTGGATTGGTACAAAAGTGGAGACACGGAAAATTTCACACCGTTTGCGCATGCGTGCGATATCAACCATAGCACGCCAATCCCAACTCGTCTACGATTGAGACGAACTTTTCCTAGGTCAGGAATTCTTGAGGCCGAGGTAGCTGTTAGGATAGCCGTCAAATGCTAAGAGGTAATACTATAATACCCTTATCATACCTCTTTGTGAGACTGCTACTGGGGGTGTTCTTAATATAATATTTATACGGAAATATATATGCAATTTTCCAAACCTCGGTAGCCTTCTTGGATGTAGTAAAGCTGTGACCAGTGCATTTTGGTCGATACAATGTTTTACCCGAGTTCTCCACAGTCTACCAACTTTTCTGAAATTGAGATTTCTCCTGATGCTTTACCGACTGTTTTCGATGAATTACCCACACTTTCAATGAGATAGTTGGTCATTCTAAAACATACTGACTGGTATTAATGACGTTAGTATTGGCTACGCTGATGAGGATGTACTGGTGATGGGAAGGAAGCCTCTTCACGCCGTACCATCCAATGTAGGGAAATATGCACATGGTCGACCACATATGTTGGTGACCATATGAAAATTCTGAGGAAATTTTGGGAAATTATTGTTAATTCCTGTACATTTCCACCCGGATTAGTATATAAACTTCTATCATTAGTGAGGAAACTCACGAGCGTAGCTCAGGAAAGTGAACACGCATTCCAACGCTGGTACCAAGCCTATCAGTCCATGTGCAGTAGCACTAGAGAGGGGTTGCTTGAATGATAGTTTGATACGCCTGGGAGGGGGATTGGGCTCACGGGCAGTAATGTCCGACGTCTTGATAGGATAGCTCAGTCCTCACCGTGAAGTGATCGTGTCAAGATATACGTTTGGATGGCATAGCGGCCCCAGAAGGAGAAATTGATTGTGTCAAGACATGTGTTTGGATGGCATAGCGGCCCCAGAAGGAGAAATTGATTGTGTCAAGACATGTGTTTGGATGGCATAGCGGCCCCAGAAGGAGAAATTGATTGTGTCAAGACATGTGTTTGGATGGCATAGCGGCCCCAGAAGGAGAAATTGATTGTGTCAAGACGTGTTTGGATGGCATAGCGGCCCCAGAAGGAGAAATTGATTGTGTCAAGACATGTGTTTGGATGGCATAGCGGCCCCAGAAGGAGAAATTGATTGTGTCAAGACATGATCGGAGAAGTTGATTGTACTAGGGCATTTTTTTGGGATGGCATAGCCGCCCCTCTGCTCGACCAAACTCTGCCCGCAGCCCCAACTGCGGTAGTATCATACCACTCCAATCCGAAAGTGTCGGCAATCGAAAGATGAGTATTGATGGGATAATCATTTCATTCGAATATCACAAACGACGTCTAAATTAGGAGCATCCATTCCTTTCCTGCTCAGTGTTTGTTATTCATGTCTCGCCGACAGGAGTTCCTCACTTATGAAGGCTTCCGACTGGACGGCCGTCGACCGAATGAGCTACGCCACCTCACGTTAAAGATCGGTGATGCTCCCAGCGCTGACGGCAGTGCTACCTTACAACAGGTGAAAGGACGATTCTGAGTAGACTTTATGCCTCGCTGAAATACCCGACTACGATCGATCCTACATTCGATCATTCTCTCTGGAGAGCTCTTCAATAATGTTCGTCTCTATTTACCAACATTAACGGGAGGTCGATTGCTGATTTATCGTGATGAAGGTTTAGTTGTGCGCTTAGTTGTTGCGGTGTCTCGCATCGAATCTCCCAGAATAATTCGCGTGTTACCAGTTTTATGCTACCACACCATTGTCAATTGTCGGCGATTTGAAAATCGGTTGAGACTCGTATTCTGGCGCCTCTCAGGGTCTCACCAAAGTTGTAGCTCACGTATTCGGACCCCGTCCTCTGCAAGCTGCTTCAGTCGGTCGCGCAGCAGGAACTATGGCTCGACAAGGAGAGGCTATTGTCAATGTAATTAACGTGTTCTTCTCTGAAGTACTCAGAGGGGTCTCTCTAGGTTGTATATCGTACCTCTTCTTTTGCTACTATCGACCGAAAGCGTCGAACCACAGGCGATCGTAACAGCACGGAGAGACAGTTGTGGCTTCAACGTATCATACAGGATGCAGTCCTAACTGAAATGTAATACCTAGATCGGGGAAACAGTGGATTCTGGGAGAAGTGAGTTTGAGCCAGAATTCTCTCTATTTCTTGGATATCCTGTATGGAGAAGTAAATTTGAGATTTTCACGATGACGCTCGTGGTCTCCACGTTTTCTTATCTGTTCGACTGGTTGCTGTTGATAAACGTTTTACTGATTGATTGTAAGTATACACGTGGGTAATATTGTTTGCCTCAAACATACCTCTCATCGTAATCGGTGGCGCTCATTGTGTCGAGTGGGACCTATTGTTCGCGTGAGATCAGCTTCATCAGGTTCCCCAAATCGTGTATAGATGTTCATTTGACTATCCTACAGGAAGACGGTTCGGCACTTGCCGCTTGCGTCAATGCTGCAGCGGCGGCCTTGGTAGATGCTGGTATTCCTATAAAGGACATGTTCTCTGCTTGTAGTACTGGGGTGATGAGGAACTGTGAATATTATCATTGTTCCTACGCGGTTGGATAGAGCACGTGAATAGCTTTTGAAGGGTATATATGTGAGCAGCGTCACGCGCCACGAAATTATGATGGCCGTGAAGTTTCACGAGTTTCTGCGTATGAGAGATCAGGCTCTGTGGGATTACTAAGAGTTAGTTGCTCCTGTTGGGAGTTTTTCCTTGTGGGAATAAGTCAGGCGGCTAGTCTGTGTTCTGCGGAACTTTTCGCCCATCTATAATCGTCTTGCCTAAGTTAACTACGAGGTTGTTCAGGTACTGTGGGGCTGGTGAATAATCAGAAGCCAATCGTCGATCTCAACCATGCGGAGTCTGAAGGCTGCGGCGGCGCGGTCGTAACGGTTGCGGTGTATCAACGTCGGAAGGAGGTACTACTAGGGCGTTCGCATTGTGGAGTCAGTTTCCCCTGAGTATGCTGTTGTCAGTTGAATTACCTCTGCCTTGAAGGGAAGATAAATATAGAATCATTCGAGAGCGCGGCGGATCTCGCGATTGAGGGAGCTGTCACTGCTGTAAGAGCAATGAGGACATTTATACAGGAAGATGGTCTTGAGAAGTAGGCAATGGTTTTGAAATACGCTACTCGTGAAACGCTTCGCTCCGCTGTTGTTAGGTGTTCTAAGCTGGAGAGCTTATCGACTTCTCGCGAGAGTCATTAACGTTTCCTATTCGTATCGTGGTGATGTTGCGCTCAGTGAAGTTAATTGTCGATGAAGTGTGGAATTTTTGGTATGAAAAATCATCCGCCGAAATATGTCAGTCCGGCGTCTTTGTGCCGATCGGAGACACCCACTAGAGTTTCCCCAACACCGTCTGGTCAGGAGCATACGGCGCCTCGCTCACTTCTGAGCGCCCCTTGGCTGGACTTTGATTTTGATGGGGGAGAGGCTCAGGAGAAGGAGGACCCTTCCGAAGTGAGGATAGGGAGCAGCTCAGACGATGATCGATTTATGCAGAGTCAAGCGCTGGGTGGATCGGAGAACGCAACTGTTGAGTTTGGCACGGCGGAGTTTGAGGAAACGGCGTTTAATGATGAAGGAAGCGTAGGGAAGGAGGAGGTGCGACAGGAAGGGACGTGTGATAGTGAAATGAGGCAATCACTGTCTACTGACTGGACGCAACAACAGGGTTCTAATACGCAAACTTGCTCACCGATAAAAGCGTCACCTCTGTCTGAGCCCTTGTTGAGCACTATATTATCGAGAGAAAGTAGTAGTGGAGAAGAGGAGGAGGATGCTATGAAGATAATTGACGAATTGGAATGTGAACTTGAGCAGGATGGTAGTGATGGGAATCGGGAGGAAATAGTATTGCGATTGTTGCGTTTGACGCAGACTACGAGTGACTCTCATGAGGTTGTGAAGGCGGTGTTGACGGCGATAGCACGGACGGGAGGTCTACAGGGGAGTGAGGAAGTGGAAAAACTGATGGAAAAAGTGAAAAATGCTATTGAGGGCGCGGCGGATCTCGAGAGGCTATGGGAAAAAGCGTTTAAGGTTGTGACTGCCGCACCTGTGGTGGTCTCGATGGAGCTACCATTTGTTGGGCATGCGTTACTACCGATACTGAGCGAAGGCCATAGATTGAGCGCGCTGCATGTGCCGAGGGGAGAAGGGGAGTCTTTGGAAACTAGGAGGTATTCTCCGGAAATTGAGGAGAAAAAAAATGAGAATTTTTGGGAGAAAATTCAGCATGGTTCGGAAGAGGAAATTATTGATGTGGTGAAGGAATTGGCAGGGGAGAAGGAACGTGGGGAAAAAGAGAAAGAAATTGAGGAGGTTGTTGACGCTGTGGGTGTGTTGGCAGTTTTGAAAGCGATTCTTACAGTAGCACGATCAGCGTCACTGCGCCATGAAATTGCTGGAATCGCGGAGTTGTTGAGTGCGATACCCTTGCCGGAAAAAGGCGTTATAATTGAGGCACCGGTGGCTGGATACCCGAAAGTGGTTGAAAGAGAATTAGAACGTTTTTTGCCGTGGTTCGCGCCGACTGAACTGGAGGGGAAGGAAGAATCTTTTGGGGAAAAACGTTGGAAAAAACGGGTTACAAAAACGTTGGGGTGTGGTAGAAAAAAACCGTCACTTTCCGATCCCTTGGCGAGTTGTGAGGATGAGGACATCAAGAGTAGTTGCAAGGCTGCGGTGAAAAAAGTTATTCATGTTGCATCTTGTGTGAAACGGGGAGATGATCACGTTATGGGACTTGGGAGATTAGCAGACATTCTTAAAGAGCGAAGAACTGCTCTTATAAGCTACGTTGAAATTGTTGCGAAAAAACAGGGTGAACTCCGCGATACGAGGCAAATACCCTATCCCTTCGTGGTACTGGATTTGCTATCAGAACCATCTTATCGAGGACCGCGTATGGCGTTGCCTCGTGCGGCGTGCTCGGTAGCTATGGAGTTAGTGAAATCGACTGGTCCGTTGGCTGCGGGGTTGATGATGAAACGCCTATTACCGTCTTTGGTGGGATTTCCAGCGATTATTGCGGCACCGGTGATAACGGAAATCGCATGTATGGGGTCGGCCTCGGGAGTTTGGCAAGGTATGGTAGCAGAGAAAGCAGGAGTTGAGATGATGGTTAGAGTTGGCTCGAGTATTATCGATGAAGTAGGGGACAGTGTTGCAAGAAAATGGGGATTTGCTTTTATTGGCTCAGGAATTTATACGGGAATTGGGGGGAAATTTTGAGAAATCAACAAAATTTTTGCGATTTTTTTTCTTAAAAGTTGCATTACTTGTAATAAGTAGTTATTAATAACACTTTATTGGTCAACTTGCGATCTCCCGAAGTTGAAAGCATGAGAGTTTCACCACCCTAGTGATATGATGAAAAACACTAGTGATAAACATATTTCACGACTACTGCATATCACCGCGAATATCGCGTTTTTCACCGAGTTTTACGCCACTTCACGTAAAACAGGTTGTGAAACTCCGGTGGGAACAGTAGTAAAAACACTACTAGTAGTACGGAAAGTTGTTATTTTTCGAGAGCTATTACGAGGACCCGTCGATAGCGTTTAGGTTTCATATTTTACGTATGTCAATTTCCAACAATTTTATATTCGGGTTGAAATCGCTCCCCTCAGCTAACCTCCGTAGTTTATTCTCGAATTTTCTGAAATCAACAAAATTTTGCCGAAATTTTGGGGAAATTTATATATTGTCGCCAACACGTAATCAAGCGTATCTATATTTTGCATTCAGATTTGGTAAATTGTCTACTACGTTGATCGTTTCTCAGGTGCCGTCGGTTCGGTCGTGGTTTAGATGCCATGTTGTTAACGCTCTTGGAGTTCCGCCGAAAATTCGAAAAATGGCGCAAAAAATTTTGGACGGCGAGCAGGCCCCAACTCCTAAGAAAGGTCCCCCCTCCGGCAGTGTAGGGGAGGAGGGAGGAGTGGCGCTCTTGCCCATTGTGACAGCCGCTAAGCCCAGCAGTGGGGCATGTGAGTTGAAGAAAGAAATGGAGGAATTGCGGAAGAGTTATGAAGAGCTTTATGAGGAGTATGTGAAGGTTTGTGGCCTGTTGGAGAAGTCGAATCGGGCGCAGCTGGAGCATGCTGCTGAGAGGGCGAGAACTGAGAAGGAGCTGTTGAGATGGCGGAGGAGTGGTAACGTTATGATGGCGTCGAGAAATTCCGCGGTTGTTGGTGTGGTTGAGCGAATGATGATGGTATTAGAAGAAGGCTCTTTGGTTGAGATAGCCCAGTGTTATGCGAAAGTGAGCGTGGCGAGGAGTGGTGGGGAGAAGGGACCTACTAGGGAGGAGCTGAAGATGATTTTCTTGGCGATGTTTCGGAAGGCCTGCGAGATTAGAGCGACGGAATTACTCGGATATGCATTGGGCGTTGCGGTTGGTGGTGATTTTCTGGAAACGGTGACGGTTTCGGAAGTGCAGGAAATTCTTCGCTGTGCGTTGAGAGGGATGGAGTTCGCCCCGAGGGAGGAAGGGCTGCGGTCGCTGTTGGTGCAGGTGTGTAGTGAAGTGCCGCAGGAGGTGCTGAAGGAGGGGTGGAGGAGGTTGGAAGCTACTTTGAAGTTTGGGGGGAAGGGTGAAGTGGAGGAGAGAGTGAGGGAGTTGTTGAGTAGACTTAGTGGGGCATGATGTTGAAGAGTAATTAGAAAGGTGTGGTGCTGTTGTGTTGGTGGAAGAGTGGTAAACATAGTTTATGAAGTGAATAAAACACCCAGTAAGGACCTGGGAATTTCAATGGTGAACGAACGTAGCAGATCGCAATACAGTAATACACCTTGTTGAACTTGAACGTATATTGTCTGTTGAGGGGACTGTAGAGAACTAACGATGGAAGGCCAGGTCGCGATTGACTAGTGAGATTGACCGGTGTCAAAGTAGGCCAATCTCGGGACATTAAGCGCACCTGCCCTCACCCAGATGTAACTCAAGAATAAATAGTACATCAGAAGATCTGATTACGAACTATTAGTGTCTGACTACGACACTTCGGTTTACAGATCACTTAAGATTCGAGTGTGTGGGTTGTATCTCGAGTGCGCAAGTGAAACTTGCCCACTCAAACAACATGCGTTAGATACTTGACGTATCGGAGCATGATGCACCCTAAATCCCAGAGATGTGCAAACGGAGCAAGACAGTATAGGGGAGAGAAAAAAAATTAACACTTTAACTCGACTGAGTTTTACATTATAGTAGTTGAGGGCTCTAGCTTGAGCTGTTTGTTGCACAACTTTGTGCAACAGGGGACGGTGACCGGGTACAGGTTTGCTTAAACTACGCTCACAGGTTACACCTGTGGCTTCCACAACACGCAAAACCATACGGAAATACGACAGCAGCAAAACCATACGGAAATACGACAATAGAAAAACCATACGGAAATGCGGCAATAGCATAATCGAGTATCATCATCGTGGTGCCTTAACGATCCTGTGCTTCAATGGATCCGAGAGAATAAGGGGTGGCATCTCAGTTGTGTTCTCTGAGGGATGATATCAATGTGACGCTCAGCCATCAAAGATGTTGAGGGGGGACTCGATGGTTCTGATACGGTTCCCGAATGGGCCTCTCAAGGAGTAGGAAAAAGTAGGGAATTCTCAGTGATCTATTTGAGATGTGGTAATCACTTAAAAACTCCTTCGTGTATAATACGGGTTAATATCGGTAGAGCAAAAGCATAGTATACTAATAACTCGATGCGTTGATGGTAGTCAAGACTCATGATTTCATGAGTCTTCAATAACATCATCATTATCATGTTTGCATGAAGGGTATCGCCGAGTTCAGGCGCTTTCGACTGGAGACTCCGTCATTGGTGCGGCGTGGAGGAAGGGAGGGTTAACGGCTGCTTTCCGGAATGTCTGAAAATGACCTTGAAAGTGACCTGTTTGACATTTGGGTCACCTCGCGGCGAGACATGTAGAACTTTCTGGTCCTCTTGCCCAACGGTAGAGCTTCCAAGCATGTGATTACCTTCTCGCGATAAGCCACCTGACGAGTAACAGCTACGAATGAAATCTATCATTTAGTGCTCACAGCAGCGACGCCTAGGGCGACTCCCATTAGGAGCATCCCGAGGAGAAGAATGATGTTGGTGACATCCAAAGCCACTCCTGAGCCACTGACCCTGATGAGCGATGCTAATAGGGTCACTGGGGAAATGGTGAACCCACCTTTCTTGTTGTGGGGCCTCTGCCTCTGAGGACGAGGGCTGGCTGAGGAGGGAAGACATGTGCTGGGCGAAATCGATGGGCACGGCGCGGTTCCCATTGACAGAGCCCTCAAGGACCGCCTGAATGATATAAGGCTCGTCAAAACGACGATGCGGAAGAGGGCGTACCAGCATTTGGTCATCGATAGCATCCTCGGTCTTTTCGATGGCTTCCAGCAGAGAGTCAGTAGCGGCCATCTGAAAAAGAGGAAAGATAGGAGGGGTTAGTTGCGGTTGGACTCACGAGATGCTGTTGAGCTCCGTTACTGCGTTTGATGGCAGCAAGAGTACCAAAAGTAGTGAAAATGAGCGTCAGATGAAACATAGTGGATTGAACTGTGTTTGCGATCAGAGTGGAGGAAGAAACAATTTTGCGCTTTTGCGTTGAGAAAAAGCAAGACTGCAAGATTATGCAAGATTAGTGAGTTGAAAATTTCAACAGCTCTCGTGAAACTACGTTCGAAAACCATCAATGTTGTAGGGCGGAGGAAGAACACTTTCAAATGGAGAGATACGTCGGGGAGAGGAATTTAGGAAAGCAATTCATGGCAATTCTTCAGAGTGCAGTTTCTGCGGTTTCGCCCTAAGATTCCTTAAGATTCTCTAAGATGCTCTCCCGATTTCGCCATCCTGCCTTCTCCCGGAAGTATCTCCCAATTTGGGTAGGGTGGATAATAGTCGTCCTCTTGTTTACCGCGGGGATCTTCTTCTTCCCATATTCTGGGAGTAGCATGAGGCTCCTCATCTCCTTCGTCTACGTCTTCGCCCTACTGCTTCTACCACCTATCATCATATGTTGGTACGCTCGTCGCAAGGGCAGGCAGCAGCGAAGGAAACTGGGTATGGCTGACCCCAGCGAGTTTGGTCACGCATGGTCGAAGTGGTTGGAAACCAACACTTACGTTACCAGTGTGGACGAAGGAAGTTGTGCTATCTGTCTCTCCGACTTCCTCCCGGCTCAGCCAGTTCGAGGTCTACCATGCAAGCACTTGTTCCACGTACGATGCTTTGATGGTTGTTTTGTCACTAGCCTTCCTCCTATGGGACGATGTCACAAGTGTCCTTTGTGTCGTCGAGATTTGGGGCCTATGCTGGTCAGTTCTGAATCGGATGAGATTTCTGTGTTGTGAGGATTCTACGACTGATCAACTTGTAATCACGTTTCTGTTCGCGGATGTTTGTTTGCGACAAACATGTTTTATCGAGGTTCCCACTCGTAGATATCTGCGGGGCTCGGTGAATCCTTTGTGTTATCGCTACTCTACCGTCCCCTCGTTGTATCTGTCATTCTCCTACGACGCTCTCGTGTAGTGGGTTAGTTTACTATATTAAAACGTTCCCTTGTATATTTGTCGTTATTATGTTTGCACATGTGGCCTCTCCGATAGAGCTATTGTATCGTTTATGGTTTCTTCGGCCTCGTCGTGTGACGTCTTGTGTCAAGGGGGATATTTTGGTGATGTTTCTTTTCCACGTAGTTAAATTTTCATTATGTCAACAAACAGCCAATCACGTAAGTTATGCTGTTCTAAAGTGTATCATTTTGTAGAGCCCTCATTTTCCCGGAAGCGCTATCTCTTCTCATGGGGGGTCTACTTACTGCTGATAGTAACGTTCATATTGATGTGTGTGTTATGGCCGGTGGGACCGGGTGTGGCGGCAATGGTCAGAGCAGCAGTGCTCATTTGCTACGGTTGCTTTGTGACTATTTTGCCACCAGTGCTCATCGTTGTGGTCGCCTATGTGTTGGAAAAGAGTCATTCGGCAGACAAGAGACGTGAGAAGTGCGAGAAGGCCTTTTTCGACGAGTGGTCCCTGTGGGTCTCCTCTGAGACGAAAATTGAGAAGCTGAGTGACGCTGATATCGAGGACTGTATGGAGAAAGGCGACAACAGTGGGTGTGTTATTTGCCTTGAGGACTTCGCTGTTGGTGATGACGTTAGAGTGCTTCCATGTGGTCATAAATTCCACGTCCAGTGCTTCGACTCGTGCTTTGATCGCCTGCCTTGCAATCCAGCCTTAGAGTTCCACCAGTGCCCACTGTGCCGCACTCAATTGGGTCCTAGTTTACCCAAACGTAACCTTACTGGTGGCATTTCTGATGATATTATTATTACCCGTACGTCCAGCGTATCGGAGGCTAGTACTACTGTTAGTGTTTAGAGTTGATGATAATTTTCGATCACTGATGTAGTACAGTGATGTTCAACAAACACCAGGGGGAGGGTTGAGCCGTTAGCTCTTCCCAGCGTAGTGTTTACCAGTTCCATCGTGGTGATT